TTAATTGCTTGGAATCCCTCTCCTCGAGTTAATCGTGTAACGGTCAGGGGAACAATTTTGGGGAAACCCGATCACCACGACAAGATAAGAACTACGTTCAAGAATAACTAGAGTATAAGTAGGTTGGTAGGAAGACAAGGGTGTGACTGCATCGCGGTAACCAATTTTGGTTTATATTATTCAGGGTAGGGGAGTTGTGTTTAATTGGCATATTTGGGTCTCTCACGGTCTTATTAATGGTTACAGGGATTATGCATCTTAGTGCCTTAAGACATTCACAACCAAAATCTCAAAGGCAAACCTAATGGTTTTTTCCCTAATGTAGGCATTAGGATGTACTTTAAAATCTTCAATATCTTGATTTATACGCCAACCAATTAGTTTACTTCCTAATACTGCGTCTTCACTGGATTTTCGTTCCGTTTTGCCCAATGCATTATTTAGTGGAAACATTTATGCCTTTAAACTCATTAGTTGATCTTTCTGCAGGACCTGAGCAGCTCAGCATTTACGACGGTGACACTCGATCCTTTTTAACTCTGTGAATGCAGCTCCAGCCGTCTAAAGAATTTTTGGGGAACACAGTTGCATTTGGGGAGCTCGTGATGGGAAACTCAAGTTTGCTGAGAGAGCATAACAACGTCGACGACATGGCGTTGCCGATTTGTAGTATATCTCCAGCAGTGTTGATGCATGTTCCATCGATACCAATGTTGTCGAAGACGCTCTTACTTACTATACTGAGCGTTTTTGTTTGTTTGTCCGTTTAAGGACTGCCTTTATCAGGGTTGCTGACATTTTTCGTACACTTGTCAATAGAAAGATTAGGCTCAGCAAGTCCTGGGCAATAATGTTAAATGTGCCCCACACTCAAATACCACCTGACTTGTTAAGTTTCTTGTAAGCAGTTACTGTAACATCTGTGAGTGCTTGGTGAAGGCAAACTTTGTATTTGTCACACTGTATATCACAGGTGATAGTTAAACAACATCCAGGTCGCTTATATGAGATTTTCATGTCCATGGTGAAACACGAGTTGCTAGATTGATTCTAGCAAACGTTTACGACTGCGAAACAAAACACAAAACACTCAAAACGAATAAAATATTTGATTCAAAAGTTTGAGATATACTATCATCGACGTGTAAAACTATGAAGACCAAATAGTGAGTTAAGGCGAGACCATAGTTAGCTGTTAACTCATGTAAAACTAGAAAAGAAATGCAAACTACCGAACGTTAAGGTCGGGATAGATGTTTCGGACTCAAAACGTTGTTCTTGTTGTATAATGATGCAGCAGATGTTTAGTAAATGCAAATTAATTTGTACCAATCTCCTTGATCGGAGAGCACTCGTATTCGTTTATATATAAGAACATTTCGAATGATAGAAACTTAAAGCAAAGGTGACGTAACAAGCTGCGAAACATAAATTTATTCAAACCAATTGTTTGAGCAGATCTTGAAGGCGGGGAATTCACACTCAAGGTTTTGAGGTTAGAATGACGTATCCTGTTAGGATCCACTAGCAGTATATATATATCAAGCCAATTCTCTGTTTAATAACCGTTAGATCATTACAACCAGGCTATTTGATGAGGCACTCTTGTACGCTTCATCATAATGCAGTTCAACTACCGTTGTGGGGCAGTCTCATAGGTCCCGCAATTAAACAAGTCTGTCATCCAGTTTTCATACATTACCTTCTGCAGTTGAGTTAAGGTTGATTAATAAAACTATACTTGTTCATTTAATTAACGCAAGATAATAGACGAATTCGAAAGCTTCTCGAGTTACCTACTAAACTTATCAGATGGCTTACATGTACGCATTTTGCATCCACCTAAACTCACTTGGAGTCGTGATAACAAGTAAGACCACTGCACAAAAAAGACTTGTATGACCCTTCTACTTTTGTCACTATATATTATTCTAGGGCAGGTTACAGTAAATATACTCACTATTTTTCCAAATTTATTTTGACTTCTGTTTTACATAATTGTAACCCTCGTCTCCTCATATTCATGTGACTATAATCGGTAGTCGAGACTTGGAAAATGTTCCACCGATTCTTGAACCATACTTTGTGTAACCAGACGATAGCGTATCAAAATGTTTCAAATCATCCACAAATAATCATTCTGAATATCAAAATCATTATTTTTCCTCTCCTGTAATTCACTTCCTTATTACTCTCTATTTCATCAACGAAAAATTCGTCACTTTAAAAAAGTCTTGGATGTCAACAAATAAAGTGTAGTTTATGCTGGCAATTCGTTGACAATACGACGAGAACTGCACTTCACCAATTTTCGTGAGTGCTAATCAGCTAAAAATACTCTGAAATCAGCCTGATTCACAAAAGCAGACGACCAGTAATGAGACCTGGTTTTTGGGGCTGATCTTCGTAGCAAGACACTCTCGATGGTCTTCATTGTTCTTTATTTTAGTTAATAATTAATTGTTTTGTCTTATAGGATTTATTTAATGAGGAATGGCAATATGTGACCCAAGAGAGGTTTGCTTTGGTGCCGGTAGTCTTATACTTTAGGAGGAAGCTCAAGTGCTAAGATCAATTTTCGATGAAGAAGAATTGACGATATCAGACGACTATAATTTGGAATACAAGGTTAGTTTTACTTTTTTGAAAAATAATTATTATATAGGTAGGTGAGGCGGGAACGACTTCTTCATTCATTGTACAAGTTTACTGGCCTGAAGGATATCCTGACATTTTACCTTGTATCTCTATGGATTCTTTTTATAATCATCATATCCCTTTAAATGTTAAAGAGAAAATAACTGAAGAATTAGTGTCTGTTGCTAAAGACCAACTTGGCTCAGCTCTAACATTTACTTTAATTGAGTACCTAAAGGAAAACCATGAGCGATTTACTAAATGTTTTGCAGTTGATAAAGTAGATACATCACAAAACAATTCGTTCCCGAGTGAAACCCCATCGGTATGTCTAAATTGTTTGACATTTTTATACATTGTTTATATAGGTTTCTCGCAAACAGAATAAACTACCTCAATTATCTAAAAATCAAAAAAGGAAGCACCTAGATAGACTAGGACAAAGTGGAGAGTTACCTAGAGGTTGGAACTGGATTAGTGTTATAAAACACCTTCAACAAACTGGATCGGCGTCATAGAGGCGTATTTGGTTGTATTTCATTGCACACAAGATAAGATTCTATTTGCTTTCACGTTTCATATTCATTGACAATGAGCTAAAATGATAACGGGGTTATGTGTTTCTGAATAATGTATTTTACTAATTAAATGTAATTTACAAAATAGTGCAGGATGCTATTTTGAAAGGTGTCAGAATACGATTTAGTATATTACTCGTTGGTGTCCTGTTGTTATTTCGGATATGCATCTGTAATTAGTACACTTCGTTAAAACAGGAACTATACCTTTATATTTTTCGCTTGTTGAGGTACTATGTGCAATAGGATTTCTGCATCCAATAACAGAAGCCCCCCGGGGAGTATTACATAATCTTTTCATCCAATGTAGTAGTATGATATTCCCATCAGTAGTTTACGTCGTTGGAAGTAATACATGTATATGTCGTATATGTATATATCGTATGTGCCTCAGAAGTATTGCTTAGATGTGGCGGAATTGTTGAAAAAGTGATCGAAGCATGAGGTAGGGATGCCTAGTTATCGCTTTGACTGACGTAAAAAAAAGTTGTAAAACGGTTACAAGTTGATAATTCAAGATATTGGCTCGGTTCATTAAGTCGTTGTATATCGTTTCCCTTCATGGGATTATGCGGGCCATGACCGGCGTACCCACCATTAATACTTGTAATTTGAATCTATACTTTCAATGCCTTTCCCTAGGTTATATGCTTTACCTTTGTCCTCTAGTGCCGTTTCGACCCCCTTTTGACCAATCATCTTAAAACTACAGGCGAAATAGCACAGAATTTACTTCATACTCAAAATTCCTTATTGTATTAAGTATGGAAATGCTAGTCTAAGATCTGAAGGTTTGTCAACAAATATGCGCAATTGACTTCACCTCCTCCTTTCTGTATTTTCATTACGAAAAACAAGTACTGTATATTTGACTGACCTTTGAAAGCCTCACATTTTACAACCAAACATGCACTTACTCTATATGTCTTCCCCCACTTCTAAGTCAGCACACAGATAAACGCAAGTATCTTGCTTTTGTTGTTGTAACTGCTATCTCATTTATGAAACTTCTTTTCTGAACGACCGGAAACTTCTATACAGACCCTAAAGTTATCCTAAAATCCGAATGATTATATATAATGATGAATTTCATACACTAGCGTTTTCATGGTTCTTAATAGGATTCTTTGGATTAATCTAGATCCTGATTTTAAGAATAAAAGCATCTTACCAACTCATATACCACACGTTTTATCTATATAGACTAACTTGGTTCGCAAAAAAGTGAATTATCTGTGAGGAAAAACATTAACTTGGAAGATAAAGCTAATTTCTTATAATAACTTAATGACTCGTGATTAAGAAACGTTTTTACCTTCAATAAATCTTTGGTAAAATTAGATAACTGTCACTTACAGTTCATTTACATATCAACAGCTACAGTCTATTTGCGCAAACTAAATGGTTAAAGGTTAGTTGGATTGATCTAGCTACCATCAAACATCACACTGCCTTTGAAAATTTATTACCATAACACAGTAGTTTACTAGGTTCTATTACATTAAACTTGAAAATTAGTTACGTCACATTTGTAACTAAATATCAAACTTGGTGCCATTACAAAGATGTTGAATATATCTTGTGGTCAGTGTGTAGAAGTAACAGTAGTTTCTTGCTGGGCTTGTTACAGCTAGTAAGTATTCCCGGCTCTTACTGCTATTATTGTATTTTCAAATAATTTATTTAGAAAATTAAAACGATCGCATATATAAAAATATAATTTCATCGAAAATATTTGCTTTAAAATCAATGTCTCATCCTATGATTTTACATTGTGAGATCCAACTAAATAGGCTTGGCTTTAATCAGGTCTATGATTTTTTTGAGGATGGCACTGTGAGTTGGACCATCATGCAGACCGAGGAGTGAAGTAAAATGATCTTCATTTGACATGTAAAACGTTTCATAGGTAAATTGCAAATGTGAACCCTGTTCACTTCTTGATGCATTACTCAACAAGTCCGCTAGGGATTTAGATTGTTCCTTCATAGCTGGTGATTCGTACTCTGCCCAAGCAACAATCCAATGAAGTGATTTACTGAGCAGTAGATTTGGACCGTCTTGCATGAAGTGTCGGATTGGACTGACAGACAAAGCCTCCCCAACCGTTTTGAACTTTATTGCTTTATTTACGTAAGTGTGGATAATTGGACGTAGGTCATAAACTCCTGACATTAAAACAAGGTTTTGCAAACAGCATAGCCAATTATTGTTTGATTTGAGTTCCATATGAGCCCAATATAACATTTCCAGAACTAAGTGTGCACCGGCAGAATGTCCAACTAGGGTTATGCGGAGCTTCGTATAATCTAAGTTACCAAACATTTTATGCGTAAGAGTTATAACTTTTTGCATTCCGAGACATAGGCTTTGTGGCATCGCCTCCAATTTTTCTTTTGGAGCTAACCTGTAAGACAAAGAGACGAATATACTGTCAGCATTTGTAACAGGAACTGCCCAACTACTGGATTCTTCCCAACCAACCAACTGCCAATACCCTCCATGAACATAGACAACAATATTGGTTGGGATTATTGATTGATCACTTGGAGGAAACCAATCTAAAGCATACTCTCCGTATCCGTCTTCTTTAAATAGCATAGATTCATTAAACGGAACTTTAAAAACACCTTTATCTTTAAACAACGTCCGTGAAAATTCACTTTGTTTGCGTAAGAGAGACATAAGTTGTCCTCTCACATCATCTCCAAGGCAAAATGGCTCTCTGGTCTTAATAAGCCAGTTTGCAGTTCTGTATTGATAATCTAATTCATCAACAATTTCCGGTAATTGGGTTTCGGATGGATCTTCATCTACAGTATCCATGGATTCCGTGCTAGTTGCCTAAAAATAATGAACGAAAATTCGACTTACTAAAATCCATAGCTCAATAAATAAAGAGGTTAGATGGTTGATTTTAATGCATTCAACGTTAAAAAACCACCCACAAAATGTAAACGTCTCAATGTAACATATTAAATTCCTAATATATATTATAAGACTAGGTGGGAAACACCAAATCAATAGAAAAAGTCCGTTAAAAACCAACTGTAATTCAAGTTACGTCTCACTATATTTCAATTAGAAAAACCGACCTGATGAAGGTAAGTTAAAAAAAACAATGTTAATGCTAGCTGAGTAGTCGATTTCAGATCATTCGTCACTAGTGGAGGTACCGAAAAAAAACTTGTATTTTCCGGTGGGAAATTTATCTACACACTGACATTTCCTCAGTGCATTAATTCAATCTGCTGTCTGATTTGGGATATATTTGCGTGTTCTCCAGGTACCTTCGATTCGGGAACCAGTTGAGTGCAGTGCTCAAGAATATTAGGTAGTAGTGTGGCATGCTACTGATATCGACAGATATAAGTAGTATGTATCACCATTCAAAAGTGAAGTCCCGGGCGGCAGAAAGTTGAGAAGATCGAAGACAGCGAGGACAAAAATGATTGGTACAGAAACGAAGGAACAATGAAGTTTGAGACAACTGATTGACATTTTGCAATCGAAGTATTCACTGTATGGTTCTCAGATTTTACTACGACGTTCTGTAATTTTGCGTCCAAATACATTCAATAGTCTCCACTTGTGTTTTCGTTTATTACATTTGGTGTCGCTGCCAATCAGGAGGGGGAAGGGTGCTGTATGACTCCATTTACATTTTATTTGCAGTGACAAGATATTCAAAATTAGTTTATGTATAGACGTTAGTAGATATGACGTATTGTAATAGGCTATTGCGCCATATGTTCGTGAAAATATGATAATGACGGGCAGTATCACAGCCCTCACACATATCGAATGAGATTTGTGTGGCGCATATGTATTTGGTGCCTCTTTGTACCATTATCTATGTGTTGAAATAAATAAATAAATAAATAAGGGAAAAAATTAAACATACTTTCCCTAAAAATGAAAAAGACTAACGGGTTACGAGAAATAAATTTACGAATGAAAAACAGGGTATAGATAAGCTATTAAATTTATTTGAAAAACTGGTTGACATGACATAAACGAAAGTTTGTCTTAAAGTAATTATCACAAATTCAGCTAGAATTGTATGAACATATGTAAGTGACAAACATAGGTTTCATTCGTCAATACTAAATAGTCGACAACAACAGGGAGTAGTCTTCATGAGCTGGAATTTCTCGGATTCGGAAAGAGACACCATCTCCTTGACTAAAACCGAAAAAATATAAAATAGTCGTTAAAATGAATAATAAGTATTTAGGTGAGATCATGAATTAATTGATGTTAGACCACCGTTGGAAACCTGGAAGCACTGGACGGCCGTTTCATCCTAGTATGGGACTCCTCAGCAGTGCGCATTCACGATCCCGCACCCCGCGGGATTCGAACCTAAAACTTAGCAATCTCCACAACCCCCATACTGATAATTAACATGTGCTCACTAGTGACTAGCTTCGTGGGGGAATTCTCGGAGTTCTAGTGAGAAGTCGTGAACAGTGGAGCTAATCCGTGTCGAGTAGAGACAGGTATCTACCTCAGTACAATGGAAGATGGTCGCGCAATTTCGTGGATTGGTTGATGTCAGACACTAACACCATTGGATGCCGGCTCAGTGGTCTAATGGTTAAGTGCTCAGGCGCGAAGCCAGTAGGCCCTGGGTTCGAATCCCGCGGGGTGTGGGATCGTGGATGCGCACTGCTGAGGAGTCCCATACTAGGACGAAACGGTCGTCCAGTGCTTCCAGGTTTCCAACGGTGGTCTAACATCAATTATTTCATGATCTCAACCAAGAACTTAGCAATCTCCACAACCCCCATACTGATAATAAGTATTTAATTGATTTAATAGTATTTGTTATCATTGGGTTACATCTACTGGAGGATGTACAGTAATGGACTTAAAAGTTCGAGCACCGGACTTTCGATCTGTAGGTTGTGGTTTCAAACATTACTTACATATACTTCTGTAATCGAGTAGTATCGCTGATGGTCGTGCAGAAAAGTTGTTGCTGCCTTGAGGTGGTGGTCGGGCTTATCAATCGTGATGAACTGGTCAAGCTATACTGGCTTGAACAATCGTTCCTCAAGATCCCACTATGCTAGACACGTCGGTTAATGAGCGGTAAGACTGAAAGCAGCAAACCCAAGGTCTGAGGGCGAAGTCGTACTGCTGACTGTACAGAGGTGTGACAGCAGTAAGGTGTTTCCTTCAGGCAACCAACATGACAGCGATGCTGCCTTCCCACAAGGAGGGGTGGGGCCAGAAATGGTCGACCCTAAAGATGCACACCTCGCCTTATCCCACGGATACCCGTCTCCGGCGGTAAAGTCTCAACAAGTACGGAGGTAACACAAAAATTACCCATAAAAAAGTCGTGTGTGACCGACCTCAAGCAGTTGTCCCTCGAGCATTACGGTCACGCTCTCAGGTCACTAAGACCACCTCTAATCCAATTTCCTTTTCAGGTACCTCTAGAAGAACCCCTCCACGGTGTGGGCGACCGGGAAGTGATAACCGTCCTCATACCTCTAACAGCACTCAAGACCTATTACAAACGATGTGATCATACGTTACCTTCTTATGATGTTTGTATTGGAAACAAAGTCAAATCAGATGAGTGAGAATCTGTGTTGCGTATAAGTTGAGCACTCGCACGCTAGAACCCTCCCAAGTCGCAAATGAGAAGACAAATGAAAGGAATGTTATTCTAGACAGTGCCATTTATGGTACAAAACTGCCAGGTTTATATCGTTTCTAGAAAAAACGTAATCATCATTATAGTTATCCAATCCGCCACTAAATGCTCTGGTATGGCCGAGAGTGGAGTGGGCCCTACCTCCCTCTCGAAATGCTCTCACATGGCCACGCGTATACAGACTCTGTCAGGGAGGTCCTAGACATTGCCTTCTGGTGGCGGGAGTGTTGTTTACGAAAATGAGAGGACGAAAAGCGAATGTCCGGCGCTTTAACGGGATCCCAAACCAATGGTGCACATGGGCTCAAGTATCTTGCAGGAACAAATGGCGTATGAACCAATCGTTGGTCACCGACTACCATGGGACTGCATGTCCTTACGATGCTCCACTGCCTTGTGGATCAGACTTTCAGGTCGAGGGCTTCGGGTGTGGCCTCCCTACGAAAACCACCTGCTTCAGTTTGGGCACCCGGGCAGTAACCCAGTCCTCACATTAATCGAATGATTTGTTTGGCGTATATCTATTTGGTGCCTCCTTGTACCAATGCTTATGTGTTTAAATAAATAATAATGAAGTTATCCGATTCACACACAAGGGGTTGTTAGTATCCGTACAATAAGGGAGCTACATTTAGGATTTCTGGAATATTCTTCTAAAAGATGACGAAATATATTCGGCTCTTTCTGAGCTTAGAGCTTCCTCGAGTTCACCCGTGGACCGTCCTTACACCTCTTTAAGTTTGTTGTGTAAGACGTTTTTCTCGGATCCACCTGAAACTTTGTTACTGCATACCTCTTGCGGTCCATCACTCTCAAAGGTTGTACAGCCTCGCCCGTGCGTCTTTTATCTCTTGTACATTCGTGCTCCTGAGGACTTTTTCGAGATGAATCCACGAGCGATTCAAACGGTATTCGCTTTATAGGATCAGTGTTCTATCGTCCCTTTGAATTGGATTCATTTGTCTTATACACGTACCAACATTCCTCTGGATTAGGTACAACACACTTCCGATCCGATATTCCATAACACCTGGTTCCCATTTCCTATTACCTTGATACGATTTGACATGGACCTGCTTAAGGACTTGGTGTCAAGGATTTCTGGGGATAACGGGACGGTGGTCAAAACACTGTCCCAGGTCTACTGAAACCTCGCTCCAAACTACACATTGGAGCCTTCAACGTACGCACCCTATGTCAAATCGGTCAACAGGCTTTTTTGGCTAGAACCCTAGAATCTCGTACCATTAATGTATGCTGTGTCTCTGAAACACGCATACAGGATCCCAGCGTGGTCATTCACTTGACCTCACTTCGGCAAAACGGAGAGCTGACGAGATACACCCTCCGTGTATCTGATGACCCGACGGCCAACTCTTGTGGACTGGCGGGTGTAGGCATAGCACTAAGCATGAGGGCGGAACAATCACTGTTACACTGGATCCCTGTTAACAGTCGTTTATGTGTTCGGCTAAACGGCTCCGTAAGAACTCGGAAGGATAGGGACACACGTCGTTGCATTTTCGTCGTTTCTGTTTATGCTCCCACCGACTGCAGCTCAGATGAAGTGAAATATGAATTTTACAGAAAGCTATCTGAACTTCTTCAGAAGGTTAAACGTTCAGACATGGTACTCGTAACGGGTGACTTTAATGCCCAGATAAGTAGTTTAAACCAAACAGAAAGGCATTTAGGTGGGTATTTTAGTATTCCGGCACAACGAACAGATAATGGTGATCGTCTGCTGCAACTGTGCTCAGACAATCGTTTATTTTTAGCAAACACAAATTTTAAGCATAAGGAGAGACATCGTCTAACATGGCGATCCCTACATCAAACCAACGAAGGACTCACATAGACCATATTGCCATCAGTAATCCTTTGAGAGGGTCGGTAGAAGATTGTCGCTAATTCTAGAGTACCTGCTTGGACTCCGACCATGTCCTAATACGGGCACGCATCTGCTTGCGCCTTACTGGACGCAGAAATTGAGTAACGAGAAAACCAAACGTAGGTTCCAGGGAAAACTGAGGTCACACTTAGGTAGTTCTGAAAACGAGGCTGGCCCAGATTTTGCTTGGAAAGATATACAAATATCTGTGGGAAAAGCAGTGATATTTGCTAGTGCTTTAAACCAATTTACTTACTTACTTACGCCTGTTACTCCTAATGGAGCATAGGCCGACAACCAGCATTCTCCAACCCACTCTATCCTGGGCCTTCTTTTCTAGTTCCATCCAATTCTTGTTCATTTTTATCATGTCTATTTCCATTTCCCGGCGTAATGTGTTCTTTGGTCTTCCTCTTTTCCTTTGGCCTTGAGGATTTCATGTGAGGGCTTGTCTTGTGACGCAGTTCGGTGCTTTCCTCAATGTGTGTCCTATCCACTTCCAGTGCTTCTTCCTGATTTCTTCCTCCTCTGGGATCTTGTTTGTTCTCTCCCACAGTAGGTTGTTGCTAATAGTATCCGGCCAACGGATCTGAAGTATTTTGCGTAGAGAACTGTTAATAAACACCTGTATTTTCTGGATGATGGCTTTCGTAGTTCTCCAGGTTCCCCCCCATACAGTAAAAGTATTTTGACATTTGTATTGAAAATCCTGACTATGGTGTTGACTTGTGGACAGCTGTTTTTAGTTCAAAATGTTCTCCAGTTGTAACTGTGCTGCTCTTGCTTCACCGATACGCGCCTCCACATCTGCATCAGATCCACCGTACTCACCAATGATGCTGCCCAGATATGTTTGCACATCTTCCAAATCTTCTCCGTCAATTTTGATTGGATTGGTGCATTCTGTGTTGTATCGGAAAATCCTGCTTTTCCCTTTGTGTATATTGAGACCTACTGCTGCTGAGGCTGCTGCCACACTGTTCGTCTTCTCCTGCATCTGTTGTTGCGTGTGCGATAGAAGGGCCAGATCATCTGCGAAGTCTAGATCGTCCAACTGCATCCTAGATGTCCGTTGTATCCCGTGCTTCCCTTCAGACGTTGACGTCTTCATGATCCAGTCGATCACCAGGAGAATGAGAAAGGCTGAGAGTAAGCAACCTTGCATAAGATCGGTCTTTATTTCGAACAACTTTGTCAACTGCCCTTCATGTAGGATTTCGCAGTGTAATCCATCATATGAATTCTATATGACATTGACTATCTTCTGAGGCACGCCGTAGTATCGAAGAAGCTTCCATAGTGTTGTTCTGTCCACGCTATCAAATGCCTCTTCGTAGTCAATGAAGTTGATGTAGAGTGATGAATTCCATTCAATTGATTGTTCCACAATGATCCGTAGAGTTGCGATTTGGTCTGTACACGATCTATCCTTACGGAATCCTGCCTGTTGGTCACGAAGTTGGGCATCTACGCAGTCCTTCATCATGTTTAACAATACCCTGTTGAAGACTTTTCCCGGTATTGAGAGAAGAGTGATGCCCCTGTAGTTATCACACTTGCTGAGATCGCCTTTCTTCGGTATTTTGATCAGAAGTCCTTCTTTCCAGTCTGTTGGTACTTGTTCCTCATCCCAAATCTTATTGAAGAGAATGTGGAGTATCCTTGCAGTTGCCGCTACGTCTGCTTTTAGTGCCTCTGCTGGAATGTTGTCTGGTCCTGGTGCTTTGCCACTCTTGATTTGTCTGATGGCCATGCTGACCTCTTCAATTGTTGATGGGCCAACATTGATTGGGAGGTCCGTGGGTGCTGCTTCGATGTTGGGTGGGTTCAGTGGAGCTGGTCGATTCAAAAGTTCTTTGAAGTGTTCTACCCACCTGTTTTGTTGCTCTTCAATGTTGGTGATTACCTCGCCTTCCCTGCTTTTCACTGGTCGTTCTGGTTTGCGGCGATTTCCAGAGAGTTTCTTTGTCGTGTCATACAATTGTCTCATGTTTCCTTCTCTTGCCGCTTTTTCTGCTCTTGTTCGACTGGTATTGATTGCTGCCTTCTTGTTCCTCCTTTCTTGAATCTTATCCAGTGTATCAACAGTGATCCATTCCTTGTGATGGTGCTTCTTGTGACCCAGGACCTCATGACATGTTGAAGTGATTGCCTCTTTGATCCCCTCCAGTTGCTCTCCACAGTAGTTCCTTCTCCATTGAGTAGATCATGAAAGGCCTGGAACTTGTTGCTGAGGACTATCTTGAATTTGTTGAGTTTGTTAGTATCCTGAAGAAAGGCCGCATTGAACTTTTGTGATATTGTCTGCCCCATTGTCCAGTGCTTCTTAAGTTTCAATTTCATCTTGGCGACCAGCAAGTGATGATCTGATGCTATATCAGCTCCTCTCTGGGTTCTCACGTCCTCTATAGTCCTCCTCAACGTTTTGTTGATGCAAATATGGTCGATTTGGTTTTGCGTAGAGTGATCCGTTGAAGTCCATGTGATTTTGTGAATGCGCTTATGTGGGAATATGGTGTCGCCCATGACCAGTTTAGTGAAGGCATATAAGTTTGCAAATCTCTCACCATTTTCGTTTCTTTCTTCCAGTCCGTGTCGTCCCGTGATGTCTTCATATCCAGTGTTGTCCGTTCCAACCTTGGCATTGAAATCTCCCATCAGAATGGTCAGGTCCTTTGTTGGACACTTCTCGACAATTGACTGCAGCCTATCGTAGAATTGATCTTTAGCGTCTTCATTGTAGTCAGTGGTAGGCGCATAGCATTGGATGATGTTCATTGAAATGCCCTCTTTTTTGTTTTGAACGAGGCTTTGATGATCCTTGGTCCATGAGATTCCCATCCTATAAGCGCATTTTGTGCTTGTTTGGACAGCATCAATGCAACTCCTTGTGTATGTGGAGCATTTTCTTCTTCATGACCGGAGTATAACAGAAGCTCCCCTGAAGCTAGTCGTTGTTGTCCAACTTGCGTCCAATGTGTTTCACTGATCCCAAGCACCTCTAGGTTGTACAATCTCATTTCCGCAGCAATTTGGAAGGCTCTCCCGGTGTCCCACATTGTACGAGCATTCCCTGTACCTAAATAAATGGTCGCTCTGGTTGTCAGAAGGGGCATCGGCCTCGTAAGTTTCGAAGGAACTCGGCTTTCACCATGAAGCGTCATAATTCTTCTAAATGAAGACCTTATAACTCCCAGGGCAGAGTTTAAAAGGTTTGAATAATTTTTTCTGGTTATAGTTTTTTAGCGAGTTAGTTTTCTACGGGATGGGACGCTAACCCCATGCCCAACCCTCCTCCATTATCCGGGCTTGGGACCGGCAGTAGCCCCCGGAGGGACTCCAGGCGGAGTTGATTTAAACCAAAGGGTTACAAAAAACCAATGGATTTAGATTGCACTGATGGATTTTCGTAAACTGATACCATCAGGCTCTGAACACGATGGAAGAGCGAAAACAAATCACATCTACGTTAAGCAAAAGTCTAAGGAACAACCGTGAGCAGTAATGGAAAATGCGGTAGCTGTAGGTAACACAAGACAGCTCTACAGACTAATAAAAGAAACTGGAATTAAGAAGTCAAGTGTGAGACAATCTCGGAAAAAGACGACGTTTAGAACGATGGGCGGGACATTTTAAGGAGCAGTTCAACTGACCTTCAGCTACTCTACCACATATTCACCATCCGTCAGGTTCCAGAACACAGACATACTTATCAGCGTCCGACAATGGTGGTCTTTCTTGACTTAAAAGCAGCATTTGACTCTGTTGACCGAGAGGTTCTGTGGCAGTGTTTGTTATTGAAAGGCGTACCTCAGAAGTACATAAACCTTGTGAAGGCTCTTTACTCGAACACTACTAGTCAAGTCAGAGCTTATGGAGAACTGTCATCTGCTTTTGCAACCTCAAGTGGTGTCCGTCAAGGCTGTCCACTTTCTCCATTTTTGTTCAACTTCATCATGGACCTACTGATGGAAATAACGCTCTCATAGACTGAATTCTCGGGTATTGATCTCCTACCAGGAGGTCCACTTATCGACTTAGAATACGCAGACGATATAGTCCTGTTTGGTGAAGACACTTATAGAATGCAGTCTTTTGGTAGCACTAAGCAACAATGCCAGAATGTTTGGAATGCGCTTCTCTCCTTCTAAATGCAAGTTGTTGCTTCAGGACTGGTCTGCGTCAACACCTGAACTAAGGATAGGGAGTGAAGTAGTCGAATGCGTTGACAACTTAACTTATCTTGGAAGTCTGATCAGCCCTAATGGGTTGGTATCTGACGAAATCTCAGCACGGATTCGAAAAGCTCTCTTGGCTTTTGACAACTTGCGTCACCTTTGGCGAAGGCGAGATATCCGTCTATCAATAAAAGAACGAATATACTGCGCAGCAGTTCGCTTTGTTTTATTTGATGTCTGCGAAGCGTGGCCCCTAAGAGTAGAAGATATTTGTAAGCTTGTAGTATTTGACAACAAATGTCTCAGAAATGGTGCACGCATCTGCTGGGATCACTGGGTAAGTAATAGTGAGGTTAGACGTAGGTTATTAGGGAATGATGGTAAATTAGTTGATGAGGTTGTGAATCTTCATCGACTGACATAGCTAGACCGTGTTACGTATGCCTGATTACCGATTACTACGACGCGCAATGCTGACTAGTGTTGGAGACGGTTGGGAGAAAGTTAGGGGTGGCCAGACCAAGACGTGGCATCAGTCTTCTAGCCATGTTGGTAGATGGAGACTACTTGGTCGGGGTCCGCGTGACTATCATAACCAGTGGTTAGAGTCTGGGTGACATGGCTCAGAACCGGTCACAATGGCGTAGGTGTATATACATTCTCTATCTTCCCTTATACCGTGATAAAAATCGCTTCATATCTTTCTTTCTACGAACTAATTGTTTCTTGCTGTACTATGTTTTTATGTGCAATCTTTCTTTTATATATTACCACCACTGAATTAACTACATCTATGAATTTGGTGTTCATCTTGTTGTACTAATGGGGTATGGCAACTTGGACCGATGTATATATGTGCCTGGTCCTACGTTGTAGTTGGTTGACTGAGTATTGGGCAGCTATTTCATCTTAATGTTCATAATTTAGTTAACTCCAGAGGTTATGATAAACTACTTGAGTTATACAGGGTCGAATCGATTGTTTGCTTGGTGAGCACTTGATGACTGGTAAACAGATGGATACAAATATCGTTAGTTGATAGTTGTACCATGTGTTTATATATATATATATATATATATATATATATATATATATATATATATATATATATATATGCATGTGTAAGATTACGCATTAACGTTTATTTTCACATCATGAACTTTTTTTCGCGTTTAACTAACTGATGTTATCCTATTTACTAAAAACCACATCCAAATGTGATTGCATTAACACAGTATAGATTTGATCTGATTTGATTGTTAAAACGCTTCTTTGATTATTTTAATTTTGATTATTACCCTGAAGAGGTCCAGACAAGTTAGCTGGACGAAACGTTGGAATTATTTAAATTTCGATCGTTGATATTATTTCAAGTATAAATTTCACATATGATTATTACTACTATTTTCAAGTTGTAAGCAGCTGTAGTGCATCCACAGCATAAATGAATTCATATTATATTATTACAATCGTTGTCTTAGATTCATCTAAACTTATAAATGGGAAACATCAAGTGGAATAGTAGAGATTAAATATTTTTTAATCTTACCTAGAAAATACAGGCAACAACCAACGTTTGACGTTACTACCAAATATTTGAAGAAAATTATTCTTCCACCCAAGATTAAAACCGTATATACGATGACTGCTACCACGAAAATTCGGTGGCCGAAAATATTCTAGAGTAGACTTATTTTTAAATATTAAATACGTATGGAATAAAAGCAGGATTAACAGTGCCAGTGCAAACACAGCCGATAAAAGCGACAGAGTAAATGCACAAAACAAACCCCATGGTCGATTATTAGCAACACTAGTCGGTCGAATCTAAGTAATAAAATTATTGGGACAATAAATAATACGATTCCACACGACTCACCTTTATGTATTTTAGTAAATAGGATAAGGCAAATAGAAAACATAATACACAATACAGAAGACCGTAGAATATAAGTAACATGAAATATTTATAATTATGGTAACCAACACAGTTATTTATCCAAGGGCAATGATGATCCATTTTTGGAACACATCTACGGAAGAAAACAAATAAAGAATCTTTCACACACATAGATCCCATTACTATTTTGAAGAGAGCCAGAAAAAAAATTTAAACAGAATAACGTGAATTCATTATATTTCATTTGGTTCTCGTTAGTCACTTATAACATATGTCATTTAAAAATCATGATTACAAAATAGGTTTAACTTGCTTACATGAAAGAGTTTAGTTGGAAGTTATTTTCGAAATACCTCAGTATAGTATAGCAAGGGTGTAAACAAATTTAATAGAATGAATGAAATATTGTAAATATATGTCTTAAATCTTTTTTACTAGCTCTCTTCAAAATAGAGGATAATACATACAGGCACGTATTAAAACAATACTTTCTAGTAACAGGTAATATTCATAAATAAAAATAATATATTTGTAATATCCCAATGAGTAGAAAATTGGATTTTCTGACGTTTCGTGACTTAGTGTAAGTCACTTCTTCAGAAAACAAATAACCAAATTAAACTTGGATTAATTTTAATTTGGTTATTTATTCTCTGAAGAAGTGACTTACACTAAGTCACGAAACGTCAGAAAATCCAATTTTCTACTCATTGGGATATTACAAATATATTATTTTTATTTATAACAATCAACCCAATGCTCAATTTATTCGAAATTATCAAATCAAACCTTGGTAATGACACCTAGTAAATATTCATGACAAAAGTAATATTGTTATTATCTTATTGTCTAGTACATAATCCACTCAACGTTTGAAGGCGATGAATACAGCACTCAAATTTCGGAAAGGGCAGTACCAACCTGACCATAGATAACCTTGATTAAACCTCAGATAGAAAAAAGTTTTGCTTAACGGCTCCTCAATAGAATATAAGCAATTTATGTGGTAAAGTACAAAACATCTTCCCAATCTTACGGTATAAAAAAGAATATGAATGAAAGATTTGATCGCGACAAATCAATAATATAAAGTAAACTGAATAGGTATAATGTTTGGTGGTTTTTGCAGTAATGATAAAACTTCAGAATAGTGTACATTTCCGTCGTTTAAACAAGAGAACATACCAAATAAAATTAACAGTTTTCAAGTTCCCCTAGTTCTTAGCCAAGTGAAGTCGGATTTAAATGAGTGAATGCTATATTAATTAAACCAATGAACCAGTTTTCTTAAATTAAACGAACCCGGTTTAGTTAAGTATGAGAAGGATAAAACTTTTTGTGAATGAAATTACAAAAGTTGATGTCAGCCAACAACTAAGTACACCTTCTTGTATACCATTCACGTCACAGTGTATATGACGGTCGGTAATATCGTTCAGATAGAAAAGTCGATGTTAAGAAAAGTTGGTCATTTTAAACCGTTTTAACAAGTGACCACTTCTATACAGTTTAGGGAACAATGTAACTGTCCACTAACTAAAGAATTCACTTTATTTCTCAGATTGGAAGCAAACACAATCGACTCAAACAAATGATCCACTAACTAAAGACTGAACACTAAAACTAAAAAGATACATCGATATGCCCGTGCATAACATGCATAATCCCATTGACCCCAAATACTATAGAGCTTTATAACAAAAAACGTATCAGGTGAAATGTTAAAATGTAAATATACCTCATACAACTTGAACAATGATGTGTACGATCTGGCTTTAAAAGAAAACATATATCACAGAATTGGGCATTGAATCTTTTCCCAATAGTAAGTACAGGTAACTGTTTTGTAACGGATAAATTATTTATAAACTCCGACCGATCGTGATCATTTTCCAGCTCTATAAAATATTTTGTTTCATTAGCAGTAAGATAAAACTAAGAAGAATACTGATATAAAGTTTACAGTAAACATACATTTTTTGGTATTGTAGTTATCTGGGTATATGTTGACTTCCAAAATGACCAAAGAAATAGAATGAACAAAACGTGATATGGAGCGAAGAAAAATGCTCTCAAATAATGGGATATTATTCAACGGACAACTTACACAATAAAAATGTACTAGTGATTAAATCTATATAATAGTTCATGAGATTACAAAACAGTTGAATTTCAACGTTACCTTGAATTACAACAAAAGTAACCACATAATATGACCAACTTATAATCAGCAAAACAAGGGCAGCTGGAATCGCTGAACAGAATTTGCTTAATTCTTGCACACATAATGATAAACGGTGTTTAGAATACACATCTGGAAGATAGACGTATTTCTTCTGATTTCCAGTCATCACATTATTACAAATATCTAGCAAGGTTATATATATATATATATAAATACAAAAGCAAATATTATCAATGAAAAAATTAACTTACAAAAGTTTAACACAAGTAAATGTCAATTGCAACCAAAAGTATACAGCAGGAATATGTATGGTGCTAAAGAGAAGTGAATTTAAGCGTTATAGAGATCTAATCCTTTTCTTGCGCCTCCTGCAAAATCTGAGTAATACTTTGGATAAGGCAAGAGTCATGACTTTTGGAACGGCAGTTTATAAATACAGCAAAAACAGTCCGAATTCGGTGAATTTTCACACAGAGACATACCTTGAGGATTATGGATGAACTCAGTACCGTGTAATAACTCGTTCTTAATGCCAGATAAAATTACATCATTTATATGACCAATACAAAGACTTGAGAAATCTTACCACTATGTTACTAATCTTTTACTACACGTAATTATAAATATACTATCCCCAAGGGAAATTTCGAAGTTAGTAATTGATATTCAGGCCGAGCTGATGTACGTACGTACGAAGTTCTACGTTGTTACTGACTGACTGATTCAAACAGAACATTTGGGTATTGATGTACGGGCCGGGATCAGTTGTGAAGTGTAACAACACATCTCGATTTATACATCCCAATGGTAAGGTGCTATTCTTTTTTTGTCAGAGCATCCTGTAACTGAACACTTTCCGTACTCTCCAAATATATTATGCCGGTGTAGCTAACATTAGAGCGAGCAGGTGCATCACAGACTATAACAGCTAATGTCTTTCCTTTAGGGACTGTCATACATCCTGATGGCACACCTTACAACTAGGTCAAACGACATTAAGACAAAGTTTTGAAATCGGTAGACGTTTTTTACAGACATCCACAGAGGTAGACCACGTAGCTAGTAATAAAATATGTAGTTGGTCAAGCACAACATACGTTAATGTAGGAATTTCCAGATTTTATTTGCCAGTGGAATGGTCTACTTTACAAAAGGCTTAAGCATACATTAAACATTCACGAATGTACAACTTGCAAGATGAATGGACTGACACTGCAGACCAGAAGGCCCAAGACATAAATGCTGTAATCATTGGCCGAGAGGTGTTTAACGAAAGTTTGAATACTTGTATGATTCTGCTTATTTATATGTAACAAAAATGCAAGCTGTTTGTAACCACGATGTTTATCTAAAGTTCATACTGCTGGAGGAACCTATTTCATCAGCATCCAAGCCTAATATTTGTAAGACTTTCTATCAATTACTTCAACGAAGAATGACATCGCACCAATTTCCGCACACTAGCCTAGTCGCGAAGAAACAAGAGAGTAGGTTGTGTGAAATTGTCCCCATGCTTACAGATTAACGAAAATACGTCCAAATTTGCCAAGTTTTGTCGTGGTTGTCTCTAGTTTGTTTGCTAATTTTAAGATATCAAATATAAAAAGTGCGCCAAATAATAATACACCCCCAAATGCCTTGATACGGCCGAGGGTGGGAAGAGTCAATTCTCCCTCTTGAAATGCTCTCACATGGCCACGCGTATAGTCACTGCCAGGGAAGTTCTCCTCACTGCCTTCTCGGGGCGGGGGTGTTCTTTACGAAATAAAGAGGACAAAAAGCGGATGCCTGGCGCTTTAACCAGGTTGGTGGACATGGAATGCCCACCTAGGGAAGTTGGGAAACTCTGATTCCAGACCAGTGGTGTACATGGGCTCCAGGATCCTGAGGGGAAAACGGCGTATGAACCAATCGTTGGTCACCGGCTACCATGGAACTGTCAGTCAGTCAGTTAGATACAACGTAGGACCAGGCACATATATGCATCGGTCCAAGTTGCCATACCTCATTAACACAACAAAATGGACACCGGATTCATAAAAGTAGTTAATTCAGAGGTGGTAATAGATAAAAGAAAGATTGCACATAAAAATATAGTACAGCAAGAAAGAATAAGTTCGTAGACAGAAAGATATGAATCAATCTTAATCTTTTAGTTTAAGGAAAGACAGAGAGTGTATACACCGACGCCATTGCGATCGATTCTGAACCACGTCACCAAGAGTCTCCAACCATTGGTTACGGTAGTCACGCGGACCCCAATCAAGTAGTCTGCATCTCCCAACATGACTCAGACTAGAAGTTAGTGACTTTAAGCACTGATGCCACGTTTTGGTTTGTCCGCCCCTAACCAACCGTTGTTGCTACCTTGATGTGGTGGTCAGGCTTACCTATCGTGATGAAGCAACCGAGTTATACTGTCTGGAACAACCGTTCCTCAAGGTCCTACCATGTCAGACAGATCGGCTGAAGAGCGGTAAGACTGAAAGCAGCAAACCCAAGGTCCGAAGGCGAAGTCGTACTGCTGACTGTACAGAGGTGTGACAGCAGTAAGGTGTTTCCTTCAGACAACCAACATGACAGCGATGCTGCCTTCCCACAAGGAGGGGTGGGGCCAGAAATGGTCGACCCTAAAGATGCACACCTCGCCTTATCCCACGGATACCCGTCTCCGGCGGTAAAGTCTCAACAAGTACGGAGGTAACACAAAAATTACCCATAAAAAAGTCGTGTGTGACCGACCTCAAGTAGTTGTCCCTCGAGCATTACGGTCACGCTCTCAGGTCACTAAGACCACCTCTAATTCAGTTTGCTTTCCAGGTACCTCTAGAAGAACCCTTCCACGATGTGGGCAACCGAGAAGTGATAACCGCCCTCATACACCTCTAACAGCACTCAAGACTACTGTATTCATAATCAACCTCCCCTCTTCAATTCCGTGGAACTGCATATCCTGACGTTGCTTCACTGCCTTGTGGATCATACCTTTAGGTCGAAGGCTCCGGGTGTGGCCACCCAAAAAAACCATCTGCTTCGGTCTGGGCAGCCGGACAGTATCCGAGCCCACACACAAATCAAGTGAGTTGTGTGACGTGTATGTATTCGGTGCCCCTTTGTACCAATATTTGTGTTCGAATAAATAATACGTCAAACAACGTCGGTGGGTTGTTGCAGTAACTTTTTTGAGATTTGATAGGCTGTATACTGCAATGCAGAACATATCGTCCGGTGTTTCTGACTTCAGTACCAACATGAAGCAGCTACTGGCGAAGTCTGGTGAGCGTGAACATCCACGAAAATCCGAGTGCGGACTGTCAGGTCAACAGTTCCTTTTATCATTTGAAGAGAAACTGGGGACGTTGGATGCTTTTCTTCAGCAGGAAGACATAAAGGACAGATTTATAAGTCAACAAAATAAATTTGATCATTTGTGTGTATTATAGATGTGCATAATGACGCGATTAACGGGTGATAATCCTAAAACGTCAATGCGATATATTTTGTCGTACATCATGACACCTGAAATTGCCAGTCATTTCACGCTACTTGGCTCTTCATCGAAAAGAGCACTTCAGAAGTGCAGGTTTTAGGCTGCATACGAAGTAAGATATTTTTCAACTCCACGTGCGTTAGCTGATCGTTTCCTGTCATCAACTGTCAACGTAAAAGACCTTGCGAAACTGTACGACGTTGCGACGCAAGGTTACTTTCATGACATGAGACAAATTACAAAAGCGTCATCGGAGATAACAAGAAAATTTATGTACACATTTAAAATGATAACTATTCTCTACCATTCTATAGGTATAGTTAACGAACATAAGCGTAAGTGAAGCTTCACGTAGCTAGTTGTGTAAAAAAAGTCATATAAATATCGTCGTAACGTTTTTTGTTTCTTACATTTCACAATATTATTTCGATTCTCAACAGTCGAACAGGCGTTACGATAAGAAATAACCAGTGGAATATTTATAATGTTCAACTTCTTTCCAATAAACATTTTTAAACATGCGCTTACTTCCTAACTTGCATGGGAAACTCTTTGACTAAGTGTTGAGAAAGCCTGTTTGATTTTAAGTGCACTTGCAGGTGAGACTCGAATTTATGGACGACGATGAACGAATCTTATGTGACCTTGTAAATATTAGCAGGTCAGCTAACAGTAAGTACATAATAAAAATATATTATACAAAAACAAAGAAATAAAGTGGACACACTCCTTATACATAGTTCAAAAACTTGTCAAGGTTAGGAAGGGGTTCAGAGGTTATAAAGTCGTAATGCATGTAGTCGAGGAAATCATAGGACTTTCTCTACGTATGGATATCTATACAGCTACAGAATAGTCGGCCTCTGGAGCCATGACAAAGTCTCAAAAACTCCTTCAGCCTCGACCACATAGCTCCAATATTGTTTGTGTGCACTCCGGTTGTTGAGTACAGAAAATGTCACTTGTGGATAACGACACGATGCACATAACCAAGCCTATGTAGGGATCTGTACGCTCTCCAGACATTCGTATAAACTGTAGTACCTGGTTGCAGCCAGTGTAACTGGTGCTTTTACTATACAGTTCGCAATAATTGTCATGATTTGCCTTAGTAAGGAATTATATATGAGGTTTTCATCATGAACTGACATCTGCTATGATGCCAGAAACCTATTTAGCCGAATGGACGAAGAGCTTTCGCGCCAAAATCCGAGATCTGTTAGCTTATACCTGATTGATTCGTCCACAAATTATAGTCTCGGTCCTTTATTTGTTATAGCCGCTTAATTATCACGTTATGTACAAAACACCCCGTGAACAGACCGTACCGTTACAGCGTCATGTACTGACATTGGCGCCGCGACCTTGAAATCTCACAGACACTTTTGATTGACTCGTCCATACATTAGAGTCTTGCCATATATTTAACGATTACAAGTAAAATACGTAAAGATTGATGCTCTTGTATCTGCCAGCTGGTCTTAACGCTGTACAATATTACGTCGATTGCAGCTTTCGTGACTTATGTTACGTAAATGAAGGAGAACACAGGAGACGTTCTGGGTTATATCAAATGTGTTTTAAAAGTGAAAACAAAATAAAATAAATCGATGTGTTTAAGCGAAAAGTATATAATTCAGCGATGTCTGAAAAATAAGGATTTAAAAGGAGAAAATCATCATTATTTCCCCCGAACAGGCGAAAAGCATACATTTTGTCGCGTTTCCCCGTTATTTTTCCATTGTTCGCCTTTATTTCTTTTTTATTGGCTAATGTAACGCAAGTCTTACCTCCTATAACATAACAAACGTAATAAACTGATCCTGCAAAAACCTTTGAACGTTACTGTAATTCAGGATTCAGTTGACGAAAATTCCTTATCACAATGACACTGGAGTTACTTAACTTTGGTGCCAACCCCTTGAGGTTGTTTGTGTTGTAGTTAAGTTACAAGAATTCATAGTCGGGCTCCAACAAAAAGTACGGGTGAACTTCAGGTTGTCTAGCTTGGAAACTGTGCTTAGCGGGCTGCCTCAGGGTAAAGCTTTGGGGCCAGTGATATCCCTGTTATATGTAAATGACCTTCCGCTTCTCCTATCACCATTGGTCTTGCCATATGCTGACGATACCAAGATATTGAGAGCGACAGAATGTGAAGATGGTAGCTTAGAACTTCAAAATGACCTGGAGAAGTTATCCGAATGTTCTCAAACTTAGCGGTTGCCGATTAATACTTTCAAGTGTATTGTGATATATATTAGTTACGAAAGTACAGATACATACACGGTGATAACATTGAGCTATCAGTTGTCCAGATACACAGTGACGCAATAACCGTCGTCAGCCAATACTTAAAAACTACTGCACATTGTGGTGCAACAGCCATCAAAGGTTTTAGAACCCTATGGTCAATACGTAGAGCCTATGGCCATGTCGATTTTAAAACCTTTTTGACATTGTGCACAGCTTTCGTTCATCTTAAACTTCAGTACTGAATACAAGTGGCTAGTCTCTGCCAAAAAAGACTGACTTTTTGGAAAACGTTCAGAGAACAGCAACTAAACCAATTCCCAAAATAGCGAAGCTCGATTGGCCAAACTAAACTTATTCACGTTGTCATATAGAATAAATAGAGGTGACTTGGTTACAGTTTAAGAACAACCTAGTGATGAACTTGCACCCGGTACGCCCTTATTTATTGTCTTCGAAAACAGAAAAACTTCGAAGACACTCCTAAAAAGTTCACAATCGTAGTGAAGATGCCACCGGTAATCGAAGTTTGACAACGCTTTAAGCAGTAACACCTAATATGAATCGTACCCGTCAAGTGAAATCAAAAGATAGAAGCGAGGGTGTTCGAAGATATATTTGATAGGCTATCAATATATCGAGGATCGTCTGATCTAATCTGGGTAACGATTGCACGGGTTGTTTAGCACATCGTTACCACTTGTGATCTGGTGCGGATAGAGGACGGAGCGCCTTCAGCTAGGTGAGTCCATTAAAACTAATGTGTTCAGCATCCAATGTCGAAAACATACAAAGTTATTTATTTTGGGGATTTATTTACTGATATAGTAGAACAAATTACTTGATTGAAGCTCCATCTGTCGACTCTTTCAAAATAAAGTTGAATCAGCTGAGAGACCATCATTTTCAAGACTAACACAGGCCAACAAACCTTCTGTCCTTTCAAAACCGAAACTGAAGATATCGGGTTTTAGACGAATTTCTGAGCTTTCAAAAAATATAAGAACATCAACAAGAGTACGGGTTCTACTCCATAAAGAGACGATAAAAATTCGTGAGATGTATAACGATTTTCCGTGCAAATGGTTTAACACCAGCATCTTTAAGTCTGAAAAGTAACTAGTACAAGGTCGTGGCGCACATATCAAAATAGCAAGCAAAACTTGGGTCTGGCTGTTTTCACCTTTACATCATACGAGTTAATAAATTTGGTTACTTCGAACTATGAGCATTATTTGAGATTCAGATAAATTAATTGTCCAACAATAGAGAATAAGCTATACAAGATGGAGATGTAAATGTAGTTTAGAATTACATTTTAACAGGCTATTATAAGTTCATGTACAGATAATTCTAGGATATTTTGAGGTAATCTTCACCATGTGGTCTAACGAAATCCTACTATTTTCAGGAAGAGAAGATGTGTTGGCTGAACTCATTAGATCATGATTACGATTAATCGTAAAATTAAGATTAAGTAAATTGGTAGATAAACATTGGTTGTCAAGACAGGTGAAGGCGAACCGCTGACTTCTAATGTTCAATTTCAAGCTTCGCAGTTGGTTTGGCTTCACTGAACATCAATACCGTAAATGAGGGCTGTTTGTTGATTTTTTTTGGAGTGGATTCACTGAACTCACCTAATATCTGTTCTAATTTGTTTTCATGGTATTTAACTAAGAGAAGTTATTGTCATTACATGGTGAAAAATACCTCGAAACGTCCTAAAATCATCTGTACATGAACTTATAATAGCCTGTTAAAATGTAGTTCTAAACTACATTTATATCTCCATTTTGTGCAGCTTATTCTCTATTGTTGGACAATTAGTTTATCTGAATCTCAAATAATGCTCATAGTTCGAAGTAACCAAATTTATTAACTCGTGTGGTTTAAAGGGAGAACAGAAAGATCCAGTGAATCTATCACATTCTGTAACATATATCGCTCTTGCTTTATTAGATTTTGTAAGACAAGCCGTCTAAGTGAAATAATGAAGTTAAAAATTTTACTGAGAAGTCGTTCGTTGGTTTCATAATGAATTCTTTCGGTTCAAGGAACTTATTGACTTATTTAAATAGCAGTGGGTTGTTGGGACTGTGATTTTGTCATATGATTAAATTAAAGGCATCCGGAGTTTGTGTTGGGGTTCAAATGCGATTTAAATATCTTTACTAACTCGACATTGTGGTGTCTGAAATTTAGAATTTGAAGTAGGAGGACTTAGAAGTAACTGGAGTTAGTAATGCGTACTAAGAACATTGTTTTTATGAAATACTTATGTACACCTATTATGTTTTGTAAGATTTGACTCGGTGGATAGTAGGAGGGAACTAATATCAATCTTTTTAAGCTCTAATAATCGTATTATTAAGAAAACTGATTATAAGGGGTTTCGTCGTATTTAAATTTTAATGTGTAACTTTATTATTTCAAGTTTCAGTTATATCCAGATGTATTTCTTAATTGAAGGGAAGTAGTGTAAATATATTCTCAGGACTTCAACTTTGGTTGCTTGATTTAACACGGCAGGTCCCCGATCACTTTTATCACTCGTAGGTAGGGAAGCCGAACCTAATCGAACATTGTTTATTAATGTTAGGCATATAGTTATAAATAAGGTAACTGTTCCGGTTAATTGAATAGGACTGAGGTAATTGGAAAGTTGTATATATGTTTTCCCACCTCGTCGTTCCATAGTAACTGTAGTGCATACGAGATAGTAAAAGCATCACGAGAATCAAATAAAAGCGTACAATCAGTTTCTTCGTCCAAGTTGTACTGGAGGAGAGGGTGCTATGTATTTAATGTGGCTCAGGGTTTAGAACCAAAAACATGTACAAGATCACTTAGTTTCTATAAAGCTGTCATTCCATGATTAGATTTAATATTAAAGCCGACAATTTCCGTAAATGATCTATCTTTGTAAGGCTTCACTGATTGGATAGTATTATTTTTCCTTACACATCGACTAAAAGTCAGTGTCATATGTAGCTATTAATCTATCTTTGTTACATTTATATTTGTTACAATAATTGCCACTTGTTTTTGTATCCTTTGATCAATTTTTTTGCTTCAGTCCATTCACCTCCCCCCTCTTCCATCTCTCCGTGAAATTATCCATGTTTATGGTATTCGAGCTCAGAAACAGTTATCTCAAAACTTTCTTTTACAATCATCATCTATAAATGGACTAGTCAAGTGTGCAGGGAACCTTCGTGGTGCATATGTTCTTGAAGTTGGTCCAGGTCCTGGCGGGATTACTCGGGCGATTCTTCAGAGAGCTCCACGTTATGTAGCCGTCGTGGAACTAGATAGAAGATTTATTCCTGGTCTTCAGGAATTACGGCTTGCTGCTTTCGAAATGGGGATCCAAATGGATATATACAGACAGGTATCTTTATTGCTCGATATATGCAGGTGATTGTCATTATTCTAGTTTTTAGTTATTATGCTTCCAAACTTTCTTCACTTATTCTTACTTCGTTCTACATGTTTATCAATAGATATCCAACTGATACCTCCTACACCAACGTATATGTACCACTTCACTACATAGATGTTTTCACTAAATAATGCATTAGGCAAAACGGAACGAAAATCCAATGAAGACGCATTATTAGGAAGTAAACTAATTGGTTGGCGTATAAATCAAGATAATGAAGATTTTAAAGTATATCCTAATGCCTACATTAGGGAAAAAACCATTGGGTTTGCCTTTGAGGTTTTGGTTGTGAATGTCTTAAGGCACTAAGATGCATAATCCCTGTGACCATTAATAAGACCATGAAAGACCCAAATATGCCAATTCAATACAACACTGTCAGCACCCGACATCATCTTTCTAACGATCAAATCCCTCCCTTACCTCTTAATAGTTCTTCCATTCCTTTGGCTAATCTGTCTCGCATATCTTTATCACGACGCTTCACCAATGCTGATAATTTGGGTTCACGATATATTATCCCTGGTCTCCGAGACCATGCTTCGAACATTGTTTTAAATAGGAAAGTAGGCTTATTTAGCCAGGACTCTAGAATCTCATGCTATCGATATTTACTACATCTCTTAAACGCGCATACAGGTCCAAGTAGTCATTCACTTGACCTGACCTTGTTAATATAAAGAGCCGGCACGATTTACTCTTGGAGTACATGGAGACTCCACTGATACTTCCCGTGGCCTCTTTGGTACATGTATATCACTAAGTTTTGAAGTAGAATAGGGTTTGTTAGACTGAATTCCAATAGACTCGCTTTTGCGCTGTTCGACTCAACAGAACAGTAGAAACTCGAAAATATAGGGACACATGCTGTTGCCTTTTCGTTGTCTCTGTCTACGCTCCCATTGATTGCAACTCGGACGAAGTTAGAGATGAGTTTCATAGGAAGTTATCGAACCTCATAAAAGCCGAACGATCTGATGTAGTAATAATGAAAGGCGATTTTAATGCTCATGTAGGCAAACTAAACCAAATTTAAATGGACCTAGGCAGATCTTACAGTGTTGCGGCTCAGAGAACAGATAATGACGATCGTCTGTCACAACCATGCTCAGATAATCTATTTCTGGTAAACACTAGCTTTTGACGTAAGGAGAAACATCGTTTGTTGTGGTGACCCCCAAAATCGACTCGTCGATGGACTCAAATAGATCACATTGCCATTGGTGATCGTTGAAGGGGTTCGATAGATGACTATCGCTCATTGTGGAGCACATGTTTAGACTCGGATCATTCTCTAGTTCAAGGACGTATTTGTTTGAATCTTACTGGACGTAAAAGATCCACACCAAGTAAACCCTTTAAAGTTCAACTTAATAATGAAAAAGTTAAAAATATATTTCAGGAACAACTATTGGAGTTAATCAGCGGTGAAAGCGATATCCATCCTAAGGTAGCTTGTCATGGTATCCAAGAAGCTGTGGAAACAGCAGTGATATCTACCAGTAACTTAAATCAAAAGGTCAAGGGAAATAGGTGGATTTCAACGGCGTATATAAAACTGATAAATGTTCACGTCAAGGAACAGTTCAACCAGCTTTCAACCACACTTCAGTTACCCATTATTTCCAAGCAACCTGAATGCCAAATTGATGTAAGTCTTGCGAATCTTGGTGGGTTTGGAAAGGCTATAAGCAATCTAGAACGAGGCAGAGCACCAGGGCCTGATGGACTAACCCCTGAAAATTTTAAGTATGGTGGTTCAGCTTTGTCAGTTAGATTAGCTGAAATCTTGGCTAAAATTTCAAAACGTGATGTAATCCCATCTGATTGGTCTCAATCACCGATCGTCCCAGTCTATAAGAAAGGAGAAAAATTCACAAAGGAATTGGTTTCACCAAGTGTGTTTGAAATATTAGCCTTAATAATACTTAGATGTCCAACTTCAGCTCATGAGGACCAAGGTCGAGAAGATCATGCTAGTTTTAGACCTGGATGTGGATGTATAGACCAAAAATCACACCCCTGTAGGTTCTGGAACATAGACATACTTTACGACATCCGACTACAATTGTATTCTTTAACCTGAAGGCGGTGTCTAACTCCGTTTACTGTGAGGTTCTGTGGCAGTGTTTGTCAATGAAAGGCCTACCAAAGAAATACGTTAACGTTGTATAGGCTCTCTGCTGGAACACCACTGGTGAAATCTCCGTCCCAACGAAAGGACGAGTTTACTGCACACCAGTTCGCTCCGTCTCACTTTGTGAATGTGAAATACGGCCACTAAGAACAGAGGACATCCATAAGTTACTGGTATTCGGTCATAGGTATCTTGGAAGCATTGCTCGTGTATTTTGGGATCACGAAGTCAGCAATGATTGGGTTAGGAACACAGTACTAGGTAAGGATAGGAAATCGACTGATGAGGTAGTAAATCTTCATCAACTGAGGTATTTGGACATCTGCTACGTATCTTAACGTGCTATGTTTTCTTTTGCTGGAGTAAGCTGGAAGAAAGCTACGGGTGGCCAAACCAAAACATAGCGTCAGTTCATGAAGTCGCTGACAATCTGACTTGGCCTTGTTATTAGGTATAAACTACCTGGTTAGGGTCTGCGTGTCTATCATAACCAATGGTTAGAGACTTTAAATGACATTGCTCGAGATCGTTTGCAATGGCGCTGGTATATCCGTTCTTTGTCTTCCTCCATGTTCTGAAATTCTAAAGTCTCTCGTAACTCTTTTTTGTCTTTATTTCACTAATATATATATTCCTATCGATTGACATATTCGATACCTAATCTTTTCTACTACAACTGATTCTGTTACTACTACTATTCTGGGATTCGGTCTGACGATTTCATCTGTCTGTGCTAGTGGGGTATCGTAACTTGAATTGACGTACGTACGTACCACGTTCTGCGCTGTGATTGACGGGCTGATCCCAATTTTCGCATGCACCTCATGCTCGGATTGACAAATTTTTTCTAGTGGTCCACTATTTTTAGTTGTTTCTCTGAATCCAACACCCTGATTGTCCATTATAGGTAAAGTGAGTAACCCACTCGTTTACCATGGGCTATCACAATACCATTCAATCGGATACCACACAAGCGAGTGTCGATTGGAACACACTTTAAAGTGCATTCATTGCTTGGAATTATGATGTTGCATTTAGATGTGCTCAATATATAAATATTTCTGTAGAATCTCAAGTATGCGGGGTAAATTGTTTGCGTTAAGTTGGTATGCCGAAGGAATATTCAAAACCTTACCCCCTGTGTTTAATCAGATCTAGACGATTCATGCTATCAAGTTCAACATAATTGTTCCTTTGGTTGATATTCTAGTGAACGACAAGTACGAATTCGTATATGCGCACCTTCAAGATATTGGACAGTTTGAACCCGTGGTTAAATTCATCAACATTCATTACTGATTACAAACACAGCTTTACCAACATTTCTATCGGGATATCCAAGTACAGTACAGCAAGGTTGCTTTTTCCATCTAAGTCCACTGTACATGGGGAAGACTACAGCGATCAACAAACTATCAACAATGTTATGCGGCAGTTAAAAATTTTAATTTGCAGGCTCGTTATTCGGGCACATTAGCTTTTGTACTGCTAGCAGATGTCATAATGGCACTCGACAGTCTAACGGAATCACTATTTTATGCAAAAAATGAAGAAGTCGAAGTTTTGAAAAATTATTTTGAAGACACTTGGATCGGGAGATTAACAAGATGCGTATGCCGCAACGACCCAGTGTTTTGAATTATACGGCGAATCGTTTACAGTTCCGTTATAAGTCATGAAACGAACAGGACTGTCGAAGGTTAGCATAGAGGATTTAATAAACTCATTGACACTGCTCATCGAAACAAACGGGAATTCATTAATGCTGTAAAATGAGGAACACAAGTTAAGTGAATAGAAAATCGAACAACTCGTTGTCCGGACCCGGTAATAACATGTATGAAGGAAGTACAGGGACATATCAATGCGTATTAAACAGGTCCTAAGAGATCATGTAAACACGAAATAGCACATAATCTGTTTTCGTATATCTGGACGTTAAACTGTGTCATTATAAAAACAAGAAAATGTAACATTTACATAATGTTTATGAATCTTTTGATTATCTTTCTTGATCTTCTGTACTTAGTCAGTTTTTGTATAAATGGCATTGATTTGCTGTATTTTTAACTCGCCCTTATTGATATGTGCCTTTTTACTCCTACCCTTATAGGAGCAAACTGTCATAATAGTCTTAGATGATACAGTTCATAATCAGTCGCAATACCACACATGCATTCGTCTTGTTGTTGGTTTTAAAAGTTTTATCAATTCATTTGCTTCTAGATCTTACTTTATGTTTGTTTTCAATATCTTTCCATTTTCGTTTACTTTCTTTTTCCCTTATAAAGTGCAACTACGTAAACCTACACACCTTTATGGGATTCTCTATTTTCTAGAATATATAAAGTAAAATAATAGTTTATATCTTCAAATGTAGAAAGTCTATTGTGATCATAATTTCATGTTCTTTCAAATCGTAGAATTAAATGCTTGTTATTATTTTATCTAGAATTACCAGTTAGTCAAATTTATGCCGTGAAACCAATCATTTACACCAATATTTCTTGTCCGAACTCATGCGACAAAATACTTTTATAAAGTGAATTTTATCGGTATAGTTGAATTCATTTATCACTGTATAATCGCGTATTTCTCTGCAATTTTCTTTATAACCAAAATTTTGAAGCATCTTAGAAGTATTCACGCATCCCGTTGATTGTGGTTCCTTTAACGAATTGAGTTGATTTCCAAACTTAATTTTTACACTTCACAAAATAAATAGCCTTTCAGTTTGTGTGAAAAATTAGTTTATCGGTATTAGAATATTTTATTACCATACCGAAATCTTCTTGAAATATTTATTAACAGTAATGTTCGAGGATTCTATCTTCTGAAAATATTCCAATTCATAGGTGGACGTTTTACAGTAATTTTTCTGTTATTTACCCCTATTTAGCATTCGCTCGTAAAATAACTAGTTTTTTTAGAATTTGTATGGAAATCTAGTCTTCGAAATTATTCTACCGAAAGCTCTAGGATTGGAATATGATAATTTTACCTTTTCTGATGTGTACAGCTTTCTTAGCCGTAAACTGATATATATATATATATATATATATATATATATAGGCGATGTTTACTTCTTCCTGCCAGTTAACTAAATAATTAAGGTCAATGGAGGTACATGTGTTTTACATTACTGTCTAACTAGGGTTAGTGTTTTTAGTTCTCGATGAACCAGTTAATGCTAAGATAATGCTTGTTTTGGATTGCTTAGCAAAAAAATATCATAATTTTTTGTTAAACATTTTATCTCTACCGTTTGATAATGTAATTATTTTCGAACTTTGTCTTATATATATGATTTGCAGGATATTCTAAAATTTAATTGTGAAGGTATTTTTCCCATCAGTTCTATGACTGGTGCAGGAGCATGGGAGGAGTCACCTGAGGTGGCAAACTCAAATTTATTAGAATCTACATCAATAAATCGAAATGAAACTGCATTAGAAAAAATAAGTTCACCACGCTTGTGTGTGATTGGAAACTTACCATTCAATATTTCTACTCCTTTGATTTCTCAATGGCTTCATGATATTGCTGAGCGACGAGGAATTTGGCGATATGGACGAGTCCCTTTGACATTGACTTTTCAAAAAGAAGTTGCTGAACGACTTGCTGCGGATGTATGGGATGAACAGCGTTCCCGCTTATCTGTCATGTCACAAGCATACTGCGACGTAAGGATTTTATTTATATATAGGTTTTCGTCTACTGTTTTTGTCCTAATGTTGTTCCATCATTAGTTATATCCAAAGAAATTAAAGATATCTAATGCGTAATAATCCTAAAGCTGACAGATAAGTGTTTGATGATTATTGAGTGTCAGTATGAATTCATTTTTCGCCTGTAATTTTTTTTGATGTGTTGTGGAATTGTGTTCGGTTAACGACTATATTGCGTGAGTGCTGCCTAGTGTGTATATGGTGATTTATCTGGACACTTGACTTTTAATTGGTTTGGTAACAAGTTTTAACCTTATTCCTTCATACTGAGATTTTGAACAATCAAGTGATGTCACTACTTATAACTCAGTAGGACTCAATAGTCTGAAATAAAAACATATAGAACGTTGTTTAGTCATATACTTCATTGTTTTTGTGCAGTTCTATAGTTGTAATTATTTGATTTACCGTTCGTATTTTCTTATTTTCAGGACAGTTTTATTAATTATCCCCAAAGTAAGACTGGCCTTTTTTGTTTGATGGTTCAAATTTGCATTGTTTTCATGTATTATAATATGTTCATTTTTAATCTTTGAAATGTAATAGGTTAAATACATGAAGGATATTCCAGGTACTGCTTTTGTTCCTCCACCAAAAGTAGATGTTGGTGTTGTTCGTCTAATTCCTTTAAAACAACCGCTTATTCCTGTACCGTACCCGTATGTTGAAAAATTAGTACGTCAAGCATTTCACTTCAGGTGAGGATCACACATTTCCTTGTTATGTTACAGTTTATTGAAATTTGTTCTTCCGGAGTAATGGTGCATATATAGTAATCCAACTTTTATGTACACGTTTACTAACTACAATGTCATATAATCTGTTGTTAAAGTGTTTACCGAAAGAAATTAAAACTCAGAGATAAATGATCGTTATGTCTATTCCCTGCGGTGCCGGTATTTATCAGCATTGATTTTCACTACTTTCAGCCACTATAATTTCTTTGATCAGAAGCAATTAATTGTAGTTTTTTTCCGAACTTCTCACGGTTTCTTATTTGACTGATCTATTGTAACCCATCTACGAAGTATAACTATACACAGCTGCGAATCATCATCTTCAAATAAACACTAAACTAACAATTTTTTCGATTACATTTATCTTTAACTCCAGCGCACCATTTCATAGACTGATCATTTCTCTACCTTTTCCATCCAGTCATAGCATCAATATTGCACAATGTAGTGGAAATGACGTATAGAGTATTGTGAGCAAAAGTTATTGTTCCTGTTGTTCTGTTTATAGTTATACCATAAAATAACTACTCGTTTTCTTGTCTGATCGTAATACGTACACTGTCCATCTTAATTACTTCGTAATATATATTTATTAAATGCATGCTTAGTTTTTTAAGAAAAATAAAAGTAATTAGAATATCAAGTTTAACATATAATTCCTGTTGTTGAGAAAGGTTCATAGGATGAATACTTCAAAAATTGTTGTCAATTACATTATGTATATCACTACTTAATAGAGTGAAATATGTATTTTCTAACCAACTTCACTCTAATAGTCAGAATCAGGATGAATACTAGTTAAGCCTATAATATAATATAATATAATATAATATAATATAATATAATATAATTATTATAGATTAGGTAGTAATTTCAATTTCAAAACACTTATTTTCCATGTAGACAAAAGCAAATAGTTCGATGTCTTGAAACATTGTTCCCTTCTAATAGACCTGAACTGGTTATTCAGTTATTCAAAGAAGCCGGTGTGCAACCAGCCAAACAGTGTATACAGGTTAGTTTGGTAGTTCTTTTATTTCATGTAGTTTGTGTATACATGTCCTTGGGTCTTAAGTGGCTTATATTTGTCATCCCACACTATCAAAACCTATCTCGATTACGGCAAGAAGGATGCTCTGCTTCCTGAATGATCTACCAATTATTACCGGTTTATTTTCAATACCTTTTGTTCATAAAGTTGCCAGCGATGGTCATAATTATAATAATATATTCAGCAATCAATCCTCTTATTTTTGCTCAAACCTCTAGGCGACCAGTCGATTTCTTTTTGTGGACTTTACTGACATTCAACTTTCACGATTTATATATATTCGATATCACTTACCACAGAAACGATTAATGAAAGTTCTGTGTTACTTTGATGATAGTATGTCAAGTTATGGAGCCTTGTAGTGAGTTTTCCTGAAATCAACATCAGTAATGAGCAGTTTCAGCTTAATTTCTTATGCTATGCCTAGTTCCTCTGAACTTTCACAATTGGTCCTCTTAGTGATAACTCCTAAAGCTATAATGATTTTTCTGGTGATGAATAATTGGTCATTTCAATATAAACCACAATTTCGATTATGTATAGTCTATAGAAATGTAGTCTTGTGCATTCCTTGAGTAAGTTACTTGAGGGTCTAATGTGTATTTAGTTTTCAGAATATAAAATAATATTATTGTACCATCATGTTTTTATTTATGATTTGATAGTATGGATTTAACAACTATATCACGTTATCGTACTAGTCAGAGTTAGAGGGTTACGGAGAAGTTTCGATTCCAATGCATATAGCACATTATTCACTAAATTACCTATGGGTTAAAGGTTTTTAGTGTTTCTAGCAACTTGGAGCTATGGGTCATTGTTTTGGTGGAATGACTTTCAACTCTGAGGTTTCGATTTGAAAACATATTCCATCTCTACAGTAATTTATCATAAAGACACAAAAATCCTAACTGAGTTTATACAATATGGTGTTACACATGAATCATATCCTAAATAAATATTCTATTTTTATTTCCTCCAAACAATTAATTTACAGTTGACAATGTCAGAATTTCGAGATTTATGCTCTGTATATCATCGTATTTGTCAGATTGAACCTGATGTATTCGATTTTGATTATCAAGCCCGAACTAATTTGCCATTGTGGTATAGTCGTAAGAAAATTCAACGAGAAATGTTGGACAGTCCAACTGGTCTTACGGCCAATCGTGTTCGTCAAGAAATATATGGATTCAGTCAGTAATGGCTATACGCTTTTGTTATTATCATATTGTAATCGATTCTTTAATCAACAATTCATTTATATAACTTGTGAATAAATATACTTCCAATATTTTGAAGTGATTGAATATTTTTATGATGAGTCAATCATGCATACTTGATACGTAAATATGTGAATTGTTGTCTCTTGTTTATGAACTATTAATGAAGAATACTTTAAAGGAATTAAATTTATCAACTGTATATATGGCCAGTAAAAGCTTTCAGCAACGAACTTGTCGTTTATTGCTGTTGAGACATTGCTTTTCTCTTGAGTGTTTACTAAATCCACAGATTTGACAATGTATATGTAGATAGATGATTTATGTACTCGATGTTTTACTGTTTATTAGCACATTTAAATTCCTTTTTATCTACATTTGAGATTTAGGTAACCGTGTAGTATTTGTAGTCTTCAAAACCTACCACACGGTCTGGTATTTCATTGTGTTATGAATTTCAGTTTCATAAAACATATTAGACTTAAAGAAAGTATTGATCACTGTCCCAATCCTTCTGTATTAGTGTTGGACCATCCCATCTACCATTACCCATATTCAGTGATTATTTGGATCATGTCAAAGGAAACCTTTCCTATGTGCAAGTCAAAGGCATTTCTATATCTTTTATGAAGGTGACAATTAGTATGTTTCTCAAATTTTCTCATTAGATATTATCTAAATCATCACTGAGCACAACAGTGAGTAAAGTAGTTAGATGTAGTGTAAATCAGTTATATTTGAAACTTCTTATTTCACGTAATTGTCGTTACTTAGTTGCAAAAGTCAACTGGAAACAATTAGTTTATTATTAAACCACTGGTTTATCGCTCTTAAAGATTACAATCCGGATACTGGTCAAGTTTAAATAGAAAAATGATATTATCTGGTCACGCGAACTGTACTGAGTAGAACGGAGTTCCAACCTATCTAGTATCTGTAAAGCGAGCACTAACTAACAAGCCACCACTTCATTGCATTGATCGTCGTAGAAACTGATTATATTAACAGACCGTTCACTACCAGTCAACATCCAACATAGCACCGAAAGTTTTATTACTCTGAACATCTTACATCTACAGAAAAGTATCATTCAATAATACTAGTTGGGTACAAACAATTGTAGTATCATACATTTAAAGTATTTGTTTGCTTTGGTTATTCGTCAGCATTTTGAAAGATTACTTAGCATCATTAAGTTGTAAACTTAGACCTGATCATAGTCTCATTTTAAGCCGTAAAAGATAGACTACATACAGTATATTCCATTTTCTTGTTCAACTTTTTATTCAAAATTGTAGTAAAAATATAATTTTCTCAATATTTCTTTTATATGTAGCTATTTTCAAGAGTAGTTAATTCAGCAATGAAGTTCATATTGAAAACTGTACAATAATGTCATATATGTATTATGCTGTAAATAATAGATTTTAAACATGATTCTTTTGTTTATCATATAATGAACTAGAGTCAAATAACTGATTATATATAGTCTTTTAGTTAAGTTCACAATTCAATTTTAAATTAGTCTACCGTTTAACCAATTTAGTGAAACGGATTTGATGATGATGTCAAACACGTGAGTAATTCTTCTTCTGATATCGTGTAAATAAATATACATGTGTTTATTGCTTCAAATACATTCGAAGACAAGAGGAATACTGTCGTTTCTCCTGTATGGTTATGCAATGTTTATTGCTATTTCTATGCTGAATCACGTAATAAACTTTTTATTCTTGAGGTAATGATGAATAAGTTAAGGTATAATTAGGATTTAAATAAATATTCTGTTCACTAGGTAGTTTTTTCGATGGATTGTTATTATAATAATTATCATTAGTTTGAAGTGATTCAAAGACTATTTCGTGCAAGGAATTGCGCGGGTATTGGTTTTCAACTAGATATTGATTATAGTCATTTCTGTCGAAATACAATGATTGGTTAGTTGTTATTTGACTGAAGCCCATGTTAGCCCATTCATTTTCTGTACATATGATGGTATTGTATTTCTCTGGATAAATAATGGTAAAATGCATAGAGGTAGTTTAATATATTAATAATAACAATAGAGCAACTATATCTAATCCAATAAATTACAATTAATTATCAAAATACAGTGATACCTAATGAGAGGCTGGGTATTTCAGTGCTTAGTGAAAATAATTAAGTTAAGTGGCTAACATGTCTTTTTCCATCAGCTGTTTATTGAAATGGGAGAATTTATTGACTGAAATTCAGTTCGTTTATTCGTAGGTTAATTGAATTCGATTCCCAGTTGTGCAGTCGTAGAGAAGCACTTCTGAGGTGTCCCATACTATAACAAAACAGTGATTTAGTGCCCTACAACTTTTTAAAGGTTGTCTAACTTACATCGGTTCTTGATCTCAATATTTTACCCTTTGTTAAGTCGGGACAATAATTTGTGCTTCGAAGCAAAATGTTATTCTACACTATTAAAACAGCTGGTCGAAAGATTGGTTTTCCATACTTTTTTATTAGTTTTTCGTAATTAGTACCATATTCATATCTCACTAATTTTCACGAACTGGCATAAGCTAGTTCGTCCAAATTTGAGGGCGTTTGGCTGAAAACCTTTAGGTCCCTCAGAGAGTACGATAACCTTTAGTAAGTATGATAATCAAGTAAGTGGTGAATACTGCATGATGTAATCAGCAAAGATTTATCTACTCACCTATCTCTTGATAATTTCATACTATACATAAAATGAGTAAGGCCACTGAACCAATAAGTGCTTTATAAAACATTCATCGATCCCAACGGATTAATTTTGAAATGACGAAACACTGAGTCAGCGTGTCTAAAAATTCAGAGCCACTAAACAATCTGTGATTATTTATCATTACTTTCTGCAACAAGAACTCTCTGGTTCAGGAAAATTACGCTACTGAAAATCCTTCGTCTAGGTTGGTGTTCATGTTTCTGAAACTAAAATAACTTCCTATGAGTAGAATTTTATTTCTTATTGTTATCGATATCGTTGCAAACCTTGTGGTTGGTTAGTTTCAAAGTGCTATGAATTTTTACCGTTAGATAAACCATTTATAAATTTCGAAAAGGTAGTACATTGATTGATTGCCATCAGGTCACTTTTGCTTTTGTCAACCAAATACTTTGAATAATTATTGTCTTTCAAATCTTTAGTGTTATCGTCCATGTAGAAGACACGCTTTGTTTTTGTTTCCAACTTGAATCTAGTAATAACCCTATTGTTAACTCACAGATCTATTGGATAAACGACTTGATGTCAAAGCTGACTGAATCCTAATTTGCTTATGGTCATCGGATACTGACAGTTGCAGTAGTTCTGATTTGCCTCGCAACACTGATTTAGTCAAAACGCTATCGACATTAAACAGGCAACAAAACTATTGAATGAACGAGGGTGAGGCTTTTAGTTTATAACCAGGTATTTTCTCAATTTTGGTCATTATTCAGGAAAATGTCAATATAATGTACGGACGGCTTCATCCGGAGTTTAATTCTCATGATTGAAAGTTGGAGACCTGTTAAAACCTGGTTAGCAATTAGAAGTTGTCATTCTTACTCGCTAATTTTCAACCACACTAACTTAAACCTACTACCCGTCGCGAGGGCATAGGGCACCGGCCTAGTGTTTCCAGCAAACTGTGTTCAGAGCTCTCGTTTGCAGTCTAGTCCTACTGCTATTCATGATCTTGATCTCTGAGTCAAGTTCGCGGTACTATTTGTTCTTTGGTCCGCATCTTTTCCTTTTATCTAATAGTTTACACAGTGTGTGTTCTATTCAGTTCATGTTCTTTTCTAAACTCCTTGTGCATAAATTTGTAAGCGAAAATGATTAGGTCTTTAATCGTATTGTTACAAGTGTACAGATTTGCAGGTCTCTCACCATTCTCGTTTTTCTCGGTCTATATCTCTCCATAATGCGTTCATATTCGGTATTGTTCGTCTCGACTTTGAGGTTCAGGTCTTCATCAGGATGATAAGGTCCTTTCTTAAGTATTACTTTAGGATGAACTGTGACCTCATATAAAACAGAACTTTATCGTTTCCACTGCTATCATTGGTGAGCGCATAGCACTGAATGACATCCGTCGTTTTGAAGGATGCTTTGGTCATTCTGGATCCATGAGATCTCCATCCTGTAAGTGCTTTTCGTGCTTCTTTGGGCAGTATCAATGGGACTCCTTGTGTGTGCAAGGCGATTTCCTCTTCAAGATCAAATTACAACGGCACTTTTTCCGAATCTAGTCCTTTCTGTCCAGCTTATGTCCAATGGGTTTCACTTATATCGAGCAACAATAGGTTTTATCTTTTAATTTACGAAGCTACTTGAGTGATCCTCTTGGTCTCTAACATTGTGAGAGCATTCGATGTACCTATGTTAATTTTTGCTCTGGTTGTGAGATTAGGCATCGGCCTAATGAATTCTGAAGACTCTTGGATTTCACCATGAGTCATCATATCTCTTCTACATGAAGACCCTTCAACTCCCAGGGTAGAGTATAAATTATTTAAATAATTACTTCTGGTTAATGCCTTCTTCAGCAAATTTACTTTTTACGGGATGCGGTTGTTGACTTCATGCACAACTCCCTGCTTTACCTTAGAGAGCACCAAGCAGGTTTATTTTCATCCATAGCAGTTATGAAATCCGTTTCAGATAAAACCAGAACTATAATTCCTTGAGTTGAACACTAAGTTTTTCAAGATTAGTCAGAATCCGGTTTGCTATAGCATATAACGACTGAATAATTTCATTTGTTAAAATTTGTTTTCTAACAAACTATTTTTTTAGAAAAGCAATAACGTGAAGACTACATATATCAAAAATTAGTTACTATACCACCAGCCTAATATCATATATTTTGGACTGGAGTTTATATTGTTATTCAAAATAGATTATTCACAATAGAGCATAAAATAATTTCGATATCAGTTCAGTAACTTACCTTTATTAGTTAATTTTTCAGCTACACAGTGAATTCTCGATGTTTGATTATCATTAGAAGACATTGTTTCTTTTATAATATTCGATTTCAATTTCAACTTGGGATACTTCCATACAGTACATGCTATACACAAAAATACAATGGATAGAATTAAACTTATACCAATTGCTCCTGTGATAGTATATATGTAAATCAGTGAATATTTATTATTATTTGTCTGTGATGATATCCATTCCAACTGTGATGATTCAATGTTATCCATTAAATGTAAACAAAAGTAACGTGTTGAATGTAATGACGAAATGCCCATATCTGAAGCTACAACACACAGACGACATGTTACATTTGACAAATGATTTGGTAATTGCTTTGATAGAAATAAACTACCAGTAGTTTGATTTAAATAAAGATATTCTAATAGATTACATGATTGATTTTGGTCCATTATTGATTTACGATTTAAATTTTTACAAGTTGACGAACTTCTATTTCCAGTGTCTGGATTCTCTTGAATTGATTCAATTAAAGAGTATTTGATTTCAGAATTTAAGCCTTCATCTGGATCATTGGCTTTAAACTAAAAAAGACAGAAGAAGGAAACAATTTACAATGTAGTTTTGTAATCACAAAATATTCTGGATTTTATACACACTATGTATGACTAATTGACTGATTAAAAATTTAAGTTTTTCGGTCCTTGTTGTTTTGGTTTTACCTACTTACTAAATTGCTTACTAATTTCGCCTGTTATCCCTCCCGGAACATAAGCCACCGAATAGGATTCTTTTCAATCAACTCTGTCTTAGGCCCACCTTCCCAGTTGTTTGCAAGTCCTACTCATTCTTTTGATTTATTTTTCAGATTCCTGGTGCAATGTGTTCTTTGGTTTTAGTACTTTTCAGATATATTAAACTCTAACATTTACAACCATATTGAGAAACCTTTAATTCTATCAATCAAACGTTATCATGAGTTCAATCAAAATTTTGTAGTTTTGTTATACTAGATAACAAAATAGTTATAAAAAAGTTGGTCTATAATCGCAGATAGGACAGTGAATATTAAGTAACAGATATTATATTTCTAAATTAAATGAGAGCAGTCCTTTTGAGAAAAAGGTAAAGTCATTTTTTAAACTCCTTTAGATGTTTAGTAAAAAAGTACTATGCTAGAAAAAATGTGGTGACACACAAGCAGTCCGAATTATATTTGAGTAATTGATAATTTCCTGGAGTTCTAGTGTGAAGCAGTGACCAGTGGAGTTCAACCAGGTCTGTCGTAAGATAGTATCTCACTGAAGACAATGGTGGATGTGTCGCTAATTTCGTGGATTAGTTGGAGTTAGATAATAAAACCGTTGGCCGGCTCAGTGGTCTAGAAGTCCTGGGTTCTTTTTGCTTTTGGGGGGATCGTGGATGCGCACTTCTTGGGAGTTCCACAATAGGTCGAAACGGTCGTCCAGTGCTTCCAGGTTTTCAATGGTGGTCTAGCTCTAATTGTCTCATGATCTCAACTATTAAAATTACTATAATATCCACAAAACCCCTTCTGATACTAATTGATAATGGGCGTCTGTGAGTATGACCGATGTTTTAAAATATCAGGTTACAATCAGGTATTGCAGTTCGAATTTGCCACTACTCCTGATGCTAATCTACTAGGAATAGTATAAACATTATACCATAGCGTTCATATCTGTCCTTGTACAGGTACCATGAATCTGACTTATCTTTCTTTAGAAAAATCAGAGGTTCAAATACAGATGTAGATCATCATGACTTTCCTTCTAAATTAATGTGAATGTTAGTTTAATTGAGAAGCATTTTGATACGAATGTTTGTTAGATACTTGCGAAACATGGGCTCTCAGATTTAGGAATCTCAAACCACCGTAGATGTTCGACTATACCTCTTTTGTGACTACGAAGACAATACGTGGAATCCGGATGTTGGGTTTTGTATATTTAGGTAAGTTAAAGATGTTTTTACAATAAATGATTTGAACTTATGCATTGATTCTAAAGATTTGTACACGAATCATAACTGTAACAAGGGGTTAATTAGCCAGTTCGTAACATTTTTGGACAGGTCGAAAATGTTGTATAGGATTGTTATCTGCTATTCAAACCTTGTTTTACTAGATAGAATTACAGAGATTGCAAAAGTGAATAGTTTGATGTATTCTGATAAGTGATCGAAAGTCGAAGATGACGAATTATTCAAAATGAACATCGGAAATTAAAATTATAAAGTATTCCTAAACATGTTCTGAGTGGATGTTTTACACTTTTTGTGATCATATTTCTGTTGTTTTTACGTATATCTCTCCTATGTTTTCACACTACTCCGATCCATCTTTTGGTGTTCCTGTTGCAGTCAGTTTGTGTTCAGATAATATACGAATAAGTACATTCAGATACATTTAAACAAAAAAGATGTCTATATGTCTATTGTTACACTAGCGAACAGCACAAACTATTAAAGAGTGGGATGTTTAAAATAAAAATAAGAATTTTGTAGAAAAAATATAGCGGAAAACTGTATCATTGTGAACAAGGTTTCTTTTAATATAATGTCAATCCCTGTTTGATTGAATAAGGTAATTTTTCATTATGTTTTTGAATTCTTTTTCTATAAAATTCCTTATATCAGTTAAAGTTTTATCCATCGTAATTATTTTTATCAGATTAAACAGAAATGATGAAAGATTAAAATTTCAAACTTCATATTTATGAAATTAACACATTTCAAAATGTTCCAAAACGTTTTTTTTTTCAGTAACAATACTTGATATCGTAAACAGTGCAAATTAAGAGAGGAACTATCTGTAAATGTAATACACTTCAGCATTATGCACATTATTTTTTAGGAGAAATAATTATCAATCTATTTAGATATACAATTTTGCAAGTTACACCAGAAGATAATTTGGAAAAATTCGGTAATGTCTGGTGGTTTGATAGAAATGGTCTCGACAGTATTAGGGGTTATTCACGTTAACGTGTAACTGGATCGATTTTGATGAGAAACCTAAATTGTTCAAATAACCTGTACAAGTATATGAACTTAATGTAGGTATTTACGGATCCCACCCTTGAATGTAAGAGTGATATCGTATATATATATATATATATATATATATATATATATATATATATATATATATATATATCACTGTATTCCGTCTCAGTTTACACATTTTAATCTTAATGTTTAATTTTCTTGAGACTCTCACTCCAGATACCAAGTCTCACGAACACATGTTTTTATTAAGTTTCAACTAAGTTAATAGAATTATAAATTAAGTTTTCCAAAGTTATTATATATACTTAAAATCAGAATGTTTTTTTTCAAAAATTGATTAAAACATATGTCAGATAAGTTTTGATCCAGAAAATTTATCAGTCACAAGTTCTACACGTAAAAGTAGCAGTAAGTAACTTCCGTTTATATCCATCATTAATTTAATTACCAGAAAAAAAAGACAATTACCTTTAGAATTTGATAACCTGGCATTTCATTAACTGAAATTGTGTAAATTATATCATCTTGAATTGGATTGATGAAAATCGGTGCCTCGTCATTTACATCTATCACATCAATATAAATAAGTACAGTAGAGATTCGTTTAGGTATTCCAGAGTCTTCTGCTGTTAACATCAGTTTATAACGTGATAATTCATTATATGTGTTATTATTATTATTATGATAGTTTCTATCATTATTTTCAATATTCATATATTCATTGTCTATTGTTTTTAATTTACGTTGATTTAATCTTATCAATTCTTCACGATCTATTTTACCATTAGTAAATAAATTTAATTCATATTTATGTTGATTATTTAAACGTTTTGATGTAATTTTAAATGGTATAATCTTTTTCAATGATGAAAATCGTAATTCATTGTAATTAGAATAATAGAAATAATCATTGTTTAAATAATTTATATTGTCATCTTTTTCATAAGTAAGATAAAATGTTAATTGACTATTCATATCAATATCTTTATCTGTTACAATAATAGTATCAATATAATAACCTTGTACAGGATTTTCATTGATAGAAAATTCATATAGTTTCTTGTCAAATTCAGGATATTCATCATTATAATCTTGTACAGTAATATGAATGTATACTGAACTTGATTTACTCATTTCACCTAAATCTTTAGCAATAACAGTAAAACTTAATGAAGCATTCATTTCTCTGTCTAATTGACCAGTTGTTTGTATTATACCATTAGTTTCATTAATTTGTATAACATTTTGAACAGACTCTTCTTCAATATAATAAGTGATTTCTGCATTTTTACCACTGTCTGCATCAGTTGCACTCACTTGCATGACGTAATAATTGATCTCAGCCCTTAAAGGATCACTGTCTTCCATTACTTTTATGTATTCATTAGTTTGTGGAAAGCTCGGTTCATTATCATTAATATCTGCTATATGTATTTGTGCTACATATTCTGTAGTCAATGGATTGCTTCCTAGATCAGTACATCTGATCGTTGCATACACTGTAGCATTTTTTTCACGATCAAATGAGACAACTGCTGACATCTTATATATAGTTAAATCGTTAGTTTGTAAGTCAGATAACTGATCCCTTTCATAGTTATCAGCCACCAGTTTATCACCACTGGACTCATAGCCAATTAATGTTAATTTAAAAAAATCGGATGAATTTCTGTCTAGTTCACATTTAGCCTGGCCATTACGTCCACTATCATCATCAGTAACACTGACCAAAGCAAAATCGACTGGGAATATTGAAGCTGGTAAATGTTCTTGTATTATCAATTCATGACTACCATTCGGCGTATATGCAGAAATGACAGGTTTATGATTATTTACATCAATAACTTGTATGAACAATTCCATTGTATCATACAGTAGATTGTCTATCATACTGGAGTCCATATTACTTACTAGTGACTTATAATAGTAGTGTCTGTCAAATACTTCATGAGTTAAATTATTATTCACAGTTTTATTATCAATCTCTTCAGTTCTTGGATTTCTCACCGTGATTAAAACGTTCAATTTTGGCCTTTCTTTATAATCTAATGGTTGTTTTAAAAATAACGAACCGTTTTGAGGATTTATATAAAAGTGTGAAGTGATATAAGGTGAATTTCTAAAGCTTAATTCAAATATTAGTTGGCTGTGTATTGGACCTGCATCTAAATCGCGTGCTTCTGGTGTATATATTGGCTTATTTGTTTCAGTATTCTCCAAAATAGACAGATGTACATTTTTTTGAAGAAATGTCGGTGGGTGATCATTCACATCGATAACGTGTACAATAACATTTAAGAAACATTTATTTTTTTCTGCGTTTAAATCTTCAGGATAATCGATAAAGTCACCAGTCGTAATTGTTGATTTTGGCTTCTCCGTTGAACTACTGGCGACAATAGTCATACTGAATTCTTGAATGCTTTCGTAATCTAGCGATTGTTTAATCAGTAGAGAGAGGGCGTACGGAGAAACCTTCGAACTAGTATTTGTTATCATCAAATCAAAAATTTCATTTAAAGAAACATTAGACTTCTGATCAAGTTTCAATTTAATACTAGATCGATGGATTCCATTTCCAGGTCCTAAATCTAAATCTACCAATTGATTAATAGGTACTTTTATCATGTTTCTTTGGTCTAATAAACCCTCCATCACATAAATTTCTTGTTTATTCGCTGGTAGAAATTCACAAACATTATCATCTATATCTTTAATTGTAATAATCAAATGTATTACTTCAACTATATCGACACCGGAATTCATAACTCGTAAAATATTGACATTCAATGTGATTTGACATAGAGAATCGAAATTTGTGACAGCATCATGAATATTAGAATTGGTATGAAATAATGTTTTTGGGCAAATATTCTCATGATCTAATCGTTGATTTATTTGTATTAGACCAGTTGTTACATTAACAGAAAAATATCTTGAATATTCACTGGTGATAATACGGAAACGAAGTTGTTGCTTATCCAATTGAAGTGTAGCTGGCAGTTTCGATGCTAAATTACCGATGATAGTCTTTATTGGTAGTTCTTCTAGTATGGTAAATTGAGCAGTTAGTAACAAGTATGCGGGTTTTATATGGACAAAAAGAGAAATCAGAATGTAGGGTAGATTCGTCATCCTTTGTCTTTGTGTTTTTACTGAACTACTGATATCTGAAGTTTGTAAAAGAATAATCTATATATTCGTAAGATAATTTTAATAAAAATCGTGGAATTTCGAATAACAGGCAGTGAAACTGTGATTTAATGGTTAAGAGCTAGCAACAGGGCCAAATTTCATATTAGGACGAAAATGTTCTCTAGTACTCTCTGGTTTGCAACGGTTACCTAAGATTAGTTCATGATGCAAATTATCAAATTCAGCAATCATTACAAATCATCTGCACCAATGATATATTCCCATACTAGGACGAAACGGCCCTCCAGTGCTTCCACGTTTTCCATGGTGATCTAGCTTCAATAGACTGGTGATTTCAACTATTAAAAATAAACATTACATTGAGTACAATCCACTGTTATTGTTTAACCGAAATTCTTTTTTTATAAATCTAAACACAATTGTTGATCTCTTAACAATTAAAACAAAAACAAACTAATCCTATTAATTATCTTAATGTTTCAGTCTTTAGGATCGAAATATTTAATCGTAACTTACGATTAATACTTTCATTGTAAATTGAAATAATCATTATAGATAGAACTTAATTGATACTTACAACTATGATTGTTTTTCAAATATAAGATGAATGCTATAATCATCATCATTTATAATGATTTTTTATTATAAGTAAGCAGAATATTAATACATAGTGGAGATTATTTTCGGTATATCAGATAAATTTTAACTTTATTAACATGTTATAAGCGCTCAAAATATATAACACACCTAAAAACATGATAAAAGAATCCGGTATAATTTGACATAAAACTCCTTTTTTTCTCATCTGCTTATGTAAGAAAGAAATTCATTAGTTTTAACCTCCAAAATTATCATACCTCTATGTCATATTGACTATGAAAACCAAATGAAGTCCTATAAGGCGATACACATATTTAGTTTTATTAGATTCGAAATAATTTTCCTTTTCGTAAGATTAAAGAACTAAAAAAAGTTATTTAATCATGAACCAGTAAAAACAGATAGTAATTAGAATACTTATTCCCAAAAATTATCAAACACTAATCAATTTAAAGTTAGATCCTTGTGTTGATTATACAGTCTTAAGTTAATTGCTTTCATCAATTAACATTGACCATGTTGGTTATGAGACAGACAATTTATAATATAGAATAATTTTTACATTATATTCTTAAGTGATTGTAATAGGAAATGTGAATAAATGAATTTTAAATTAATTATCTAAAACTATTGTGCTCACTAATAAACCTGAACAAAATTAAATATTCAGTTCTTCATAGCTTTTCGTAGTTCCACAACTGTTTTCACTTCTTAATACAAATTAACTGAATATAAGTTTATTATTCTAAGAGGTATTTGTCTATTTTAAAGAATTGAAACAGTTTAATGAATTGAGTTCCAATTATTGGTATTATGATGGAAATTGAAAAAAAATTCTACATCTTCCAGTAAGTTGATTTTTTTGACAGAAGATCATATTCTTTACCCGAATAGTAAGTCAATTGTAGTCTTATTGTATATGTCATTTTAAAAAAAGTCTATTGAATAATAATTTTACATAATCAGATACAATAAAACATAAACCAAAAACAATTAACTTATAAAAGCATATTACTTTTAAATTAATTGCACACTTTATATCTTTGTACAAACTATTATATAATAAGTGATACTGAGATGAAAAAAAAGAAGAGAAGAAACTTAATATAATAAGTATAAACTATAATTTGATTAATGTTTTCTACTTTCTTATATTTACTTTGTTTGGGGAGAAAAAAAGAACATAACCAAAGTAAAATATTTAACATCAAAGAATATGAGATCAGAGAAAGAGAATAATCATTTAGAATTAGGATCTAATAAAAGTATTTAAATTTTGAGTGTATGTTAAGATGTTCTACATTTATGGCAGGTAGTGATTGTTTATAAAAGATGAGTAATTTTGAGTAAATTGCTTATAGTAAACAGGATTTTCAGACTATTTAATTATATAAGATTGTTGTCTGAATTCCAACAAAAAAAACCCAGTAAATTCAAATCAATCCAGTCACAGTAAAAGAATATTTGTAATTGTTTTAGGAAATCCAGTTAACAAATACTGTGTACAGTTTCAGTGAGTCAGAATGGTCATTTATTGTTGTTTCTGGCTTTCAGACATCAATGAATTAATAATCTTACTAATACATAGTAAATAAAGTTAGAATGTATTTACTAACTCTTCAATTACTAGGTACTGAATTTGGCAATAGTAATATTAAACTAGTACACTTAATTTAAATGTGATTGGGTTCAGTTTTAATTCTATGATATTATGAAAGAGTCATACATATAAACTTTTATTACATCTGAAATTTATAAATCCTAGTGAAAAAAATTATTATTTGACCATATTAATGTTATATCTCGATGAGAATGATGAATGGTAACTGTCGGAATTTATTTCTGGACAAATACTATACGTATGTTTTTATCGTGTAATTGTGAAAAAACTAAACTATTCATATTCGTGTTCCTTTCATCATAAGTTTTATTTTGATCTATGAACTATTATTATACGATTTACCATTCTTGGGTTATACCCAGTCTATCAATTATTATCGCTCACATTCACAGGCACTTTTGGCTAAATCTTATATAAATGTTATTTTCTATTTTATGGTATGATGTGAACTGCTTGATTGGTATATAAACCCAGTATGTTTGAAATAAATGATTCATTCCGCATAGGCTGAGATTGGTGTTCTGGACTTAACAGGCAAGGCTAAGGGGGAAGCAGGACCGATAAGTACTCTAGACTGCTCGTATGGGTTTTATGCGTCATTGGTTCGGTCGATAAATCACTGTTCTCTAAGTGGCGGTATCATTATGTTATACATTAATAGGAAACAGCGCACAAGTTATAACAGTTAATTAAATACATTAATGGTGAAAAGAAACGGTCCCTCTTTAATAACCTTTTTGTATTGATTAGATCCACATTCTTATTTCCCAGAAACACTGTATAATGGTGTGAAATTAATTATTAACATTGGTAACAATTAAATTTGTGATAGAATAATGATTATATGGTTTGTGATTAATTAATAACGTATGAGCAATTTCAAGTGTTGTATGTTCCATGTATCAAGAAAAATAAAGATTTAATTAAACAAGAATTATGACTGTTAGTTCTTCATTCACCATTGTTTAATAAACTCTAGAGATCATTATGAAATTGTATTAACTAACTCTTTAAAAAAATGAAGGAAATCATTTATTGAACCAAGAATTCAGTAGTTAGAACAGTCATGATCCCAATGTGCTTGAAAAAAACTATATGTACAATAATTTTGTTAGAATTCAGTTCATGTAAGTAAAATGAAACCTGTGTTGAAAATTTTTTTGCTCACTGAATTGCATTAAAATTGTTTTCCATATAATAACTTCCTTAAACGTTTACAATTTGTGTGACTGGTTTATAGTGTTGAAAGGATAAATATATATTTTACTGAGTTTTTATCAATGAGTTAAAGTAAAACATTTTCTTTTATACCCAATCACTAGATAAAAATCCTGAACAATTATAATGGAATCAAAAACAGAGTTTATTGAATAGTAAACATTAAAAAAAAACGTGTTAACACAGGATTTTTATGTCTGATTACTTGATTAGATTTATTGATATCGATTATTACTGAGATTTGATGATCTTTCTAACTTACTTACTTACGCTTGTTACCCCTCATGGAGGAGCATAGGCCGCCCACCAACATTTTTTATTCAACTCTGTTGTGGGCAATCTTTTCCAGTTCCTAGTCATGCTCTTCATGTCTGCATTAAATCCTCGGCGTAGTGTGTTCTTTGACCTTCCTCTTTTCCGTTTCCCTTCAGGAGTCCAAGTTAGGGCTTGCCTTGTGATGCAGTTGGTGATTTCCGTAATGTATATCCTATCCACTTCCAACGTCTTTTCTTAATTTCCTTCTCAGCTGGAAGTTGATTTTTCCTCTCTCACAATAGGCTGTTGTTGATGGTATCCGGCCCTAATTTTTAAATAACTATCGTGTTTTGTCAATTTTTACAGATTATCAAATGCCATATTTGATGTAAACTATTTTATACGTCAGTTTTACTAACAAGTAATATCACATCATGTGTATGATTCAAATTATAGATTAATAATATACTCTATGTTTGACAGGTTCTAGTTTCTTCGATCCATGTTTATTAAAAATTCTATAGAATACATTTTTAACCGTTTATCATTATGAATAATTTTGACCTTGTATATTTAGTTCAAGTATTTTGTATTCAGAAGTTTAAACAATTGAAGCGGTACTCGACTAATGACGAAATTAATAGTTAACTCCTTAAATAATAGCAATAATAAAAAGTGAAGATATGTGAAAAATAATGAATAATAAAGGTCATAATAGCGGAACGTAATATTTCTCAACTGTATACGAGAAAAAAAGCAAGAGGATGAAGTATGGAGTGAACTATTATTCCTTTTTCGCTTTCTTTGTTACAACTAAATAAAGTAGGTTATATCACAAAAGAAGTGGGTGAAGCTATATATATATATATATATATATATATATATATATATATGCCATTCAGTCACTCCTTCTTTGAAAATAGTTAAACGTTCACCGTTTGTCGGTACTCTAACAATACACAATTAATGTTAACCATTCTAACTATTCTTTTTGTTATTAATTAAAAAAGGTTAATTATAGCAAATTAATAAAATAGTGTTTGTATAGTAGATTGATTGAAATATCTTTTATTTGAAGATTACATCCGTTCCAGTTTAAGATATTTCAACTATGTATATCAGTTACCACACTTATGATATAAAACGAGACCTAACGCCAAGCACGATAAATTAATCTCAATTTGTCATGGTCGTCACAAAAGCTGAGAGTTCTGGCTCGTTTCATATGCTAAGTCGTCGATGCACACAATTAATTCAGTGAAAATCAAAACAAAATTGTTGTGTAATACTTTTCGGTTTTCGCTGATTCTGCACGTTTGA